CAAGCTGAGAAAAGATCCAAACAACCCCCTTCCTGGGCAACACAACAACCAGCCAGTTGTAGTTGAGTACCACGAGGGTCCAGAATACGAAGTTGAAGAGGCAATTGCATCAAGGAAGCGTGGCATGTATCGGATAGAGTACAGAGCAAAGTGGACAGGTTTGGATTACGACGAAGTCTGGTACAATGCAAGTGGATTCAAAGGAGCGCCTCACAAGCTACAGGAGTTCCACACAAGATATCCAAAAGCAGTTGGGCCTCCCAAGAATCTGGCCTACTGGCTTGAGTGCTACGAAAAAGGAGTAGAACCCGAAAAACGACAAGACGACGACTACAGACTTATGCGCTCGGGACGAGCTTCTTCGGAGGGGGGGGTGATGTGACGGAGCTGGATTTCATTTGACAGGATTTCATTCGCTTGGCCAAGCACGTGACGAGACTTGGCATTGGAACAACTTAAATAACTTCGCTCCTTTCAGATTCTCTTCTCTCTTTAGTTTGATTTCTTCGTACCTACGGTTTTAGTTCTAGCAATTGATTCAAAAGCTGTATACACTTTATCCTTTGTTGGCATCCGTGACAAACTAGGTCGTAGGTCTAAGTATTTAGGCCTTTATTCGACCTAGTTATCTAGTTATTATATTTACTTAGAGTATACGGGTTTATCTTTTTTTTCCAGATATAATAGAATCTAGAAGAGATAGTATAAATCGTAAAAAGGTTAGTAGTATAGGTAGAGCGAACGTAGGAAGAGAAAGGGGAATAGGTAGATACTTCTACTATAATAATAATCTTAGTATAAGAGAGATCTAAGGAACAAGGAAAAAATCTTTATCGAGACGAGAGTATTATACTAGATTACTATAATAAATTTAGAATGTAAACTACCTAAATATTCTAAACTAAATCCTTTTTCTTAAAATATCTAAATAGTTAAAAATAAATTTAAATACTTAAACTAATTCTAAAAAAAGGTATAACTTATATTAATCTAACCTTTAATATTTCTAATGAAGTCTTTTAGAATGTTTTTATCTAAGGTATCTTATATAATATATTTTAAAAAGTTATTTGGAATTTAAGAAATAGCGTAAGAATAAAAATTAAATTAAATTATTAGAAGAATTCGAAGAAATAAGTTATTTATATATTTTTATATTAAGTTTAAAAGTAATTTAGTTTTAATATATATATCTATTTCCTTAAATGAAAATATTAGAAAGTGTTCTCTTAGTTAGTTAAAGAAAACAAATTAAGATAAAAGTATTAAGATTCTGTAGTTTTCGAAATATAGTCTATAAAATAAATATTATTCAAGACTACTACGAGTATATCCTTCTAAAAAGGAGAAATCTAGATGTTTCTATGAAATCTCTTATGAAAATCAGTAAAGAAAAATTAGATACAATAAACATTATAATATTATTATAGTAACACCCAACAAGTCCATCTAAAAAATCACAATTTCTCTACTAATTTACCCTCCAAGCCATCCGCGGGCCTCGCTTCTCCACAACATCCTTCTCATCCTCTTCCTCAATCCGCTCCTTAACCTTCATCTGGATCGCAAAAACCGCCAACTTAATCTCCTCCCTCACCCAAACCCTCACCGCACTCGTCACACTCTCCCCAACACGACCCATTTCCTCCTCCAGCCACACCTCACTCTCGCCTCTAATCCCCTCCAAAACCTCCTCCGGAAGGTCAGCTTTAATGCCCAACCTATGCATCTCCGACTTCTTCGCCGCATCCAGCAACCTCTTCACGATATCCTCAATCTGGTCATTAGAAAACATCTCCCGCAGCGCCGCGACATGTTTCCACACCTCTCTCGTAACAGTCGCCTCCTCACGCAGGGAGGCAAGCCTTTCCTCCGCTTCCTCCCGCTTCTCCTTCTGCTCGTGGTACTCGAGGTTGAGTTTCTTGACAAACTCAAACCCCTGGAGTTTATGTCGATACCCGAGATCCAGCTCCGCCTCCACCTCTTCCCGTCGCTTGCGCTCTTGCTCGGCTCTTTGGTCTGCTTCCTGAGCTCTAAGTTGCTCCTGAGCGAGCCGCATGTCTTTCGTGAGTTCTTCCTCGATTTTCTCGAGGGTATGGGGCTGCTTTGCGGGTTGGGGGGGTGCTTCGGCTATAGGGGGCCATGGTAAGGCCTCCTTTGCCCATAGAGAAAATTCATTCGGGTCCTCCCCATGCTTCTGATGCTGTTGTTCGGCCTTTTCGTTTGCTTCCAGAAATGCGTGGATAGCTCTCGCAGCCTCTCTCTCAGCCTCGTTTCGCTCCTGCGTAAGAGTGGCCTCCCTTGATTTCGCTTGGGCAAGTTTGGCCTCGACTTCCTCCAGCTTTTGGCGCAGTGCTTCCGCTTCCTGTGTAGCCTGGTCTGCTCTCAGGCGTTCCCGTCAAGCTGCCTATACAGCGCAGCCATTACTGTTGTTTCCGGTCCTGCTTGCTGTTGCTTGTTCTGTGCCTCTTCTTCTCGATCGGTCACTTGGGGAGTGAATTCGGTTTGTTGATCTTGACGGTGTTTCTGAGATTGAATAATACCTCCAGCCGGTATCTGGTAGTTGCCGAGTGTAGCAATTTCGTCAAGCCAATCTCCAATCTCGAGCCCGTCTTTTTCTTCAGAGGTAGCTTGTTGCTGAGATTGAATAATACCTGGTATCTGATAGTTGCCGAGTATAGCAATATCGTTAAGCCAACCTCTAATCTCAAGCCCGGCTTTTTCTTCAGAGAGAGCTTCAACTTCGTTGTCTGTAGTGAGCAGAGCAGCTTTTGCTTCCAAAGCTTTGTCCCCATCCCCGGTCTTTATAAGATTTTCTGGCTCGGCCATATCTTCATTCACCACATCTTCGTCTGTATGAAAGCCTTCCGTCTTAGGTTCTTGTCTTCCGGTAGTCTCGTGTCCTTCCCTGGGTCCTTCCGAAGCCGCATCTTTACCATTCTTTGGTACTGCAGACGATTCCGCGGCTTTCTTGTTCTTCTTGTTCTCTTTCCTTCTCTTGTTCTTATTCTTGTTCTTGTTCTTTCTCTTCTCCGCCTGCTCATACCTCCCTTGCATTTCGTCATCGATCCTGTCAAGCCACTCCCAGTCTTTCATGGACATGAGTTTCAATCCAGACATGGCCTTTTCAATGTCCCTCGTCCATATTTCCGTTTTGATAAGCTCGATTGTCTGCTCTGCAAATGTCGGACCACCAATGGAGATGTAATCATGAATTCCCCGACCAGTGCAATTTTTCGATTTGTCGTCCAGCCTACCACGCCATATGACTACTCGATCCTGGATGTCGAACTTGGTGGTCCATTGTAAACCCATGGGTTGCATCTTCCGCCACCAAGACTCGCGAAATTTATTCCATGCCTTCTTATTTGGAGCTCCTGGGCGAAGTTCTTGAGAAGAGAGGTTTTTGTTTTCGGTGACGGTAGGCTTTGGACGAGAGTGGATACCGGTGGGGTCGTAATTCTCTACCGCCCATAGCCTCAGAGCATAGACAATTGCATTGATATCTTCGCTGAGTCCATCGTGGAAGTGATAGTAAACGCACATATTGAAGGGAGTCAAGTTTGAATCGTACTTGGTCCGTAGCATGATCTCAAGTATTATGCTTTGCCGAAAAAAGTTCTTCACATGGTAGTTCGTGTACCATGAGCTAAGCACAGGAGCTTGTTCCACCAATTAGAAGCTGAAATCCGGCGCAATCCTAACAACTTGGCGAAGCATATTGCTTTTGACTTTGAAGATAAAGCCATTCCGCGTAGAGCCACATGGAAATATCTCTTGAGAGGAACTCAAGCTTCTGTTCTTTGGTCTGGATATAGGATACATATTAGTATGAAACGCAAACGTAACCGTAAGCAGGGCAGATATAGCAGATGTCACAACTTACCAAGTTTTGTGGCAGAGTGTGTTCAGGCGGATCGTAGGTATCAAGGTCCGATTCGCAAGTGGACTCTAGGATGGTCTCCAAACGACGCTTGATTGATGTTTCAATGGCATCCGGAACCTCTCTAATCTCTGGAGAACCAGATTCCAACTTTTCGACCAGCTCCTCAAACGTCATGTTGAGGTCTGGTGGCATCCCATCCACGTACGTTGGTTGAGGTGTACTCTTTGACGTCTCACCCATCATGCTTTCGTCCTTTGAATCATGAGAGTCGCTCTTTGGGGGTGCGTGTAGAAGCTTTTCCCAGTCGATAGGCTGGAGAGCTGGCAGATCCTGCGCTAGATTGTTCAAGGCAGCATCACCGCCGTACGCCTTTACAAATCGCACAAGAGGCGCGTACAGATTTTTAGCCTTCGTAGTTTGTGCGTCTGGGTTGGATGTGGAGGGGAGAGGATTCGGTCGGAGATTCGTAGCATCCTTGGGTGAAGCATTGTTCGCAAGACTATCGGTCGCAGAAGTAGATGATGTCATGGCTTTGCAGATCGACCTCTAGGTTCGCTCAAGTCGTTATGTTGTGTTGGGCTCTGAGGAATGAGCTGAGTGTATCTGTTATGGTAAACGCGTATTGAGCAAAAATTCAGAGATCGACAAATAAAACCTTTATCAAAACACCCAATCGGATTGGCCAGTCTATGTAGAGCGAGGTTCAGCCGATTTATTAACCGTTTCTGGGGGTGCAACAGTGAATGTGAGAAGAAAAGGGAGAATAACACCAGATTCATGGACCTTCTTGGGCAGTCACCTTCAATTCAGTAATGCTCAATCATTATCATAGAACGTGCAAATATCTTGAAGGTTGTGCGAGTTTAGCAGAATGGAATATCTCTTTAAACATAAAAGAAGTAAGCGTAGATCAGTAAGCACAATCTTTGGATAATTCAAGCCAATGTAGAAGGCGGCTCTTGACGTGGACAACCACTTTTGTTCTTGATAGTAGTGTTAAGAAAAACTGCTCCATATCTATAGGATATTTTGAGTATAAGCATTTCCCTTTTACATAGAATGTGCTCTCAGAAGGAAAAACTGAGTCTGTAGGAAGAGAACTTCTCTTCATAAACATTGGGCAAAGCATTAACAGCAAAGAACATATGTAGCATCCATAGAAAATAATCCCTAATTTCAAGGGATAATGGTAGTGAAAGGCAGCTAGCACATAAGTGTGGTTTATGACAGAAAGGTAACGTGATCTGAAACTTTTCAATATAGGTAGTATTAGACAAAAGGCAGTAGCGGAGATTATCAAAGGAAATCAACAAGAGCTCCTGCCTGCGACTTCGTAGAACTTAGCAAGCCAGAGGAACCAATCTTCTGATCAGCTGACTATTGACATGCTATCTAAGAAAACCTTTTGGAATAAAGTGGCAAGCAACAAGACGCATTTTTTTGTTTGCAGAAGAAATATTGTAGAGAAGACTGGGAGAAGAAGGAGAGAAATGGCAACACCAAGATAAGAAAAGGCCCAAACTTCAAGGCTCAAATGAACAGATTCGACCAGGCAGAGGAATATCCGTCTCCCAATTCAAAAGCGACGTATTGAGCTTCAAGGCAATAAATTAGTAATGGAGGTCCTCTTCTCAACTTCTGCGGGCTCTCTTGACTTCCGCCAATTGCCAATTCCGTGATTGCATGCATATGAAAGAGGCTCGAGAAGGTCCATTGAATACTGAACAGTAGTTCGACCTTTCGAAAGGGACAATTGAAGCATAAACGCATTTTGCTGGTGGTTGAAGCGCATGTTGATGTAAAAAGCGGCGGCTAAGGTACAGTCAGCTCGCAGGCTTTTATTGAAATGGTGGAGCATTCTGGATGGGTACCCTTTCGGAGAAAGATTCGGCCCGCGTCGATATCGGAAATCGGATATCTCAGCGCAAGCCAGTCCGAAGTCAGTACAAGCGAAGACTGATCCAATCAGAACTTCAAGAATATAATCATCCGTTGTTTTTTCCCGTGTTTTGACGATTCTCTTATGGAGATGTATTTTGCTTGAGGAGTGGTGAGTTCTGCCGTCTTTTGTTTACCAGTGGCTCCACATCCACACCCAAATCCACATACTGGGTCATCTCCAAGCCTCCAAGCCTCCCTGCCCCTCCTCAACTCGTACCAATACTGTCACTGTGCAGCCTCACACACACAACAATGGCGACCGACCAACCGACCAACTTAACCATCAGGCAGCGGTTAACGTCTATTATTGGGGGGCAATTGTGGCTGTTGTAAGCTACAGTTACCGTACCGGTTGTACCCCTCTCCCACGTTGTTTCCCGCATTATTTGAGGACTAGTATCTTTGGACTGCACGACTCGTACCGTGACAGTATCTCTGTCGTACCGGTATTGTGCTGTGTACATTGAACTCGCACTGTCGCTGTATACACGATGAAGCGGCTCAACCCATTCATGGTAATCGATCGGATGCTGCGAGACATTGAGGGACAGAAGAGCTGCAACGTCACAATTCTCGGCGTCGGAAGTCCATCTTGAACTCTTGCGGCTCCAGAGGTGTTGGTATGATGCAATTCCCAAATTCACAACATGTGCAGAGGTTGGTGGGTGGAGAACGCTCCTTCGCGGCACAAGGGGAAAAGGTCCCCCTCACAGGACCGCCTTTGAGGTTCGTTCGTATCCATCAGGAACCCGTGGCCTTCATTCGTGGGTTGTAAGATCATCAATTCAGGCCACGCCTCCTGTCGCACCGTCAGGGGTCGGCCACAGCCAACGGTTCAGCCAACTGCTAAGCTGTAGATGTGGATGCGGATGTGGATGTGGAGGGGACGTACGAAAAAGATGCAGCGGTAGCGAAAGCGTAGGATCATCCTACCGAAAGCCTCGAAGGATTCCAGGTACCGGTAAGTCTAGTTTTCGCCTTCTCTCTCTCACTTATCTTTTTCATCATCCTCTATCATCGTCAAGATGGCGAGTTCTGGTCCTGCTCTGGCCACGATATACGCTATTCCCGTCGTTCCAACATTGGCGACCACCGAAGTAAATGCCATTCCAACCGCCATAGTTGCAGCTACGGGCGTGCCTTCGGCCCCTCGCAACACCGTCACATACGGGTCTCCCGCAAGCTCAACGTCAACAACAAAAGCTGCTCCAGCATCGTCGTCAGCTTCGACTTTACCAATAGGTGCAAAAATTGCAATTGGAATTTCTATCCCTCTGTTCTTTCTGGCTCTTATTTTCGGCCTATTTCTTATGTTTCGACGTCGCAAGCAAAAGATACTGGGACCCTCCAAAGAACCAGAATACGATCTCACCTTTTCTCCCGCACCTACACATACAACTTTCATGGACAAAGATAAGGAACGTCTGGCCGGTCATGTGGACAGTCGTGCAGAGACTCTAAACAATAGTCGCATGGCAAGCCGCCTCGATAGTCGAAGCAATAGCAGAATGGGAAGCCACCATACCGAAAGTAGAAGTGGCAGTCGACAAGAAAGCCATCTAGAATCCCGCATCGGCAGTCCGCACAGTTTCTACAATCCCAACATGAGTCCTCCACCAAGCCAACAAAGTCACTATATCGCCGAACTCCCATCTCTAGGCTTGAAATCGCCCACAGAAAATCGCTATCAAACTTATCCAATCCACGAGCTCGGACCTGGGAAAGAAAATGGAGCAGCTGACGATGAATCTCTTGCGGACTCGATGAATGGTCCAATTGTCTACGAAATCGTCGAGTTGCCAGATACATCCCGAAGAAGTATCAAAAATTGGCATCGAAACCCATCTAACGCATCCACTCGGTCTCGACCAACAATACGAGACGTGGGCGAACGAAGGACGACGGTACCAGTCCCACCAGTTCCTGAGGATGATGCAGGTGAGTGGTCGTGGCTCCAACCAACAACGCCCGAGGCCACCAAAGCAAGTTTCATCTAATTGCGACTCTTTCAATAAACTCAACTGTTTATTTTTCTTCAATGTACCTGGAAAATTAATTTTATCATCAAGGGCAAAACGCTCGAATTCTTTGCGCGGTGTTACTACTGGGTCTCGCATTTTCACGGCGTTTTATGGTTCTTCTATTTCGGGGTATCATGGTCCGTGGACCACCACCATCAGGCTCAGTCACTACGACAGATGCAACATTGAATTTTGGATGGAACTCACTGGAAAATTTGGAGGGATTGTCAATAGTACGGATACAACGGAACGGCATAGGGGCGTAGGAATCTTACGCCCTTGGAAAAAAGGCCGGCAAAACGAAGATAGATGATGGGGTGGCGAAGCGTGCAGTGCAGAAGGTAAGGTGGAGAGGTGAGGTGTGCGAACGGCGCTGCAAGCACGTTTTTGGTTACACAACTGCAGGAATGGCGAATTGACGGCTTCAGAGGGATTTTTGTTCTTTTCTGTAACGCAAGGGGGAATGGCAATTGCATGTATACCTATCTTATGATGGGTAGGTTAGGTTGGGACAGATGTTTATGTTTCCCTTCCCCCGAGAATCTTGAGGGAGAAATGTAATCCCTTTTGGTCAGAGGTGAACATATGGATGAATGAAAGATACTTACAACCTGTGGAAGCGAAGACTTAGTTCTATAGCTATTTTCCGTCGTCCGTCGTACCTAAGGTTTAATTATAATTTTTATATGTTACTATTTATATATGACGTCATCTGTTGGTTCTGACTTGGTATTCGTACTGTACGTATTTACTTAGCTTGGAAGCGAGGCTACACGCTACGGTGGACCAAACCAAAGAGATAGCTGTGAATAGGTGCCTCTCTTTTTTGCAACTTTCTTGACAAATCGTGGTTGTGATGATAGATGCGAGCAAGCAAATCATGTACTCTTATATTATTGTAGAAAGAATAACAAGGGAGTAAGTTGTTTACTACTGTACTACTGTATTCCTGCAGGATCCGTGTACTGTAGAATATCTACTGTAAAACTCATTTTTCTGCCTCGTCCAGCGTGGGTGAATTCGAGTACTGTAGGTGAGCTAAGTAGTACCTAGCACCTATAGATACTCGACTCGATTCGAGTAGCGGTAGTCAAAATCGCAACCACTTGCCAAGTACTCGTGTAATAGTCAGTGCGTGCGTCTTTCCACTGCGCTATCCAATCGCTTGAATACCATAGAGATTAGAGATCTGGGTGGAATTGCTGATCCAGGCTTCTAGAAGTAAGGATTCATTCTTTGTTTAAGCTGCACCGGGTCGTGGAGGTTCGAATCTGTAGGTACGGTAGTCCTGCTTTTGACACTTTGAGCTGGGGGAGTTGGGGGTTCTTGTGCTTTTTTGGATTGAGGGGTGTGGTGTGGCGTGGTGTCGAGATTGCAGACGACCTTTTAGCAGGATCGTGGCAGGGGTTTTTACAGTACAGAGAGGAAGTTGAGGGGACTGGGGAGTGAGGAGGAATTAGGGTTTGAATATGATCTTCGGAGTGTGAATTGAGTAGACTGGTAGATTAAATTTTAATAGGTCTCACTCTATTTGTACTTTACGCCTTGCGTTACTATAGTGTTAGGAGACAGACAGACTCTTCCTCGAAAGTCGAGTAAAGGAATGAAAAAAGAGAGTTTTCACTACCTCGCTTGGAAGTTGATGGTGCTTAACTCCTATGCCGAAGGGATCAACGTTCTATCTGTAAATATAAATATTATAGTACGTTAATAGGCTCCGAAAAATCGTAAGACTTGCATGGATTTATGTGGTCTTTCTTCTGTGTGTCTTCATTAAGCTGTACTACATACCCTGTGCCTGTTTAAGATCTTAGATTCAGCTTGTACGAGTAAATCGCGGCTTAAGAAATGTGCGTAATGTGGCCATATGAAGCCCCGCGCATCGCAACCTACTGTAAAACAATGGTATCCTTTGTGTATACTTATACGCAAGCATGTTTCCGCAAAAGTTTTATCTAAGATACTGTACGAGGACCATCTCTACAATTATTATTCTCCAATAAGTCACCTCAATCATAAACTCGCGATATCACGTCAAACGAATTATATGCGGTTGCGGTTACCTAGACTCCTCCGTATCCTCACTTAGAGATTAAGTTGTATAGCTACCTATTCTCTGAACCGGAATTCTCGGAAAGGTTCTCTATCCTATAGTCCGGTATTACGTAGGAGATATTAGAGGCTCTAAACAAGGATCCGCATTTTTGACAAAGATAAATCGGGAGGTGTCTTTCTACAACATCGACATGTTCTTTCTTTCCCGAGAAGAAATTAAAACCAACCGATATCACAGGAACAAGAGCGTTACTTGAGTACGCCAGAGAAGATGAGATTGTTAGTGCTTTCGTTTTTACTCGCACAGGTACTGTGTTAGTTCCAAAAACTGGTGTCAGGTTAACGGGTGAGAAGTGTGAAGTATATAATGAAAGAAGTAAAGCCATTGGTCTTGGTCAAAGGGGAAATCTGATATTATTTGATGATAGATTGGTTTTCTTCTCTAATGATTCAGCACAGTTAAGTATAGTCTCCATTGGGGTGCCTCTCTTATACGAGGAGTACGACACCATTACTATGGCGCTATTACTGGAGTCCATCAAGGAGGGTCAACATAATACTCGAATCGGAGATAATAAAAGGATTTATCGAAAAAATAATTTGTTGATTGTTCATGTACGTACAGCCCAAGTCCTCGCCGCGAAACGGCTTTTGGAAGAGGATATCAAGAATATGAAGGAGGGGTGTTTTTTGTTCCGGATAGGGGGTTGGGGTAGCCGTGATCTGATCTTCCTGGCAAAGTGTGTATTTTTGCTAGGAACCCAATAGAGGGCAAGGATGTCTGAGATGTTTCTGGGTGGGCTGTTTGAATTTATGTTCGCAGCTAAAGCGGCGGGGTCGAGGTTGATGATCTTGGAGTATTTTGTGATTTGGGTATTGAGAAGGCGAGGAAGAGGTTGGAGTTTATGGTGTTTAATCAAGATGCCGTTCTAAAGAAAGCTACGGAGGATAAGATTGAGGGCTTTTGGAGGCAGATTTGGATGAGAGATAATTAGGATGGCTAGGTGCATACTTGACACAATTTGGAAGGTAGCTTATCCTTCTAATCAATCAAGTAGAAACACACTTCGTGGCGCGGAAAGAATTGCAGGTGCTAACATATGCATGATACCCAAAGGCATTCTCGGTAAAGGTGTTTTGAGCTTTTCTTTGTAGCTCTCAGAAGTACTCTTTATGCAAAATTGACATAGTATCTATCAAGAATGTGTTATGATAGCCAAGTGATGGAAAGGCTCATTGGGGAGGGGAGATGAAATGATTCACTACTGACAGATTCATCTCATTGCCTAAGTGGGTCTGTTGCCGGATGAACTGCCAGATAAGCGAGAGGTGAAAAGAAACACTACACCAATACGCACACAAACTCTCTTCCTTTACAACCAGCGACGATAATCTCACAAAAATCACCACCAAAAACTCTCACACATCAATACCACGAGCTCTTTCTATTCTCGCCCGCGTAAGCTTCATCTCGTCGTATTTTCTGGTCTTACAAAGTCGCTACACATCAATTCCACCTACCACCATGTCTGACAACGTTGTCTTCCGCCAAGTCGACATCCGCTACCTCACGACTCCAAGAGAGTCTCTTTACAATGCTGGACCCGACTGGCAAGTGCAGCTCGTCCACTCCTGTATCGTTGAGAACCTCCCCAACCCCCTCCTCGGCCAATGCGGCACTCTCCCCTCCCTCTTCTACATGCCCTGGGAGGCGGACCTTCGCTATAGGACCAAGGACTGCGCGATTGGTGTACACGACGAATGTCATCTCTGGTAAGTGGCTTTACTTAATCGTATCTACTATTGTGAGTCCAGACAGAGTCTAACTGCGAATAGGCATGTTCACTCCGCAGCCCTCCACCACTATCCGTATCTCTGGCCATTAATTCGAGATCCGGAGTACAAGGTCTTTCGCTTGTGGCTTTATCGGGTGGAGCCTGAGGAGGATATGGGCGAGGAACCAGATGACGGGTTGGAGATTTGGGGGGAGGCGAGCGTTTGGGGGGAGGAGAGCGCGGATGAGGAGGACGAGGCTGAGGAAGAAGAAGTTGTCGGGCATGTGGTGCCAATGAATATATGGGAGGACGAGGACGAGGCTGAGGAAGAGAAAGAGGAAGAGGAGAATGTCGAGTATGTGGAGCCCATGGAGACATGTGAGGCTGAATAGTCATCCGGAGATGAGTCGTTTACGTCAAATGGCTGGTTTTGATCTGTTTATGTGGAAGGGCTTATGGTACCATGGTGAAAGAGTACCAATTGTATGATTTAGAGGCATTGGAAGCCAATAAATGATCACCAAAGTGAAGATCTTAATGCATTCTCGAGGTGTTCATGTAACCATTTCATTTACAACGCGATTAAAACGCTTATACTATGTTCTCAACGAAATAAACTATGGAATAATGTTATATCAACTCTTCCGATCACGTTCTACAGAATAATCTAGTATCCCAAAGAAATTCCGCTGTAATAGAGCAAGTATATCTTCTTTCTCTAATGTAGACTTTACTTGGGCTCAACTTATACGTATTTCTTGCCTCGATTTAGTAGAATACTAGAAAAAGAAATCGCTAGAAAGTATATATCTATACAAGTTCTCCTAAAGGTAATGTCTAATAGAATTCGGAAGATAATACTTCGTAAATATCTAAGTATTAGAGACCTTAAAAGACATTAATTCAGACTAGTTTCTCTACTAGGCTTAATTATTAACGATGGCTAGATACTCTCTAGTTCAAGCCTAGAAGGGATTATAGAAATAATCGTTCTAGAAATACTTGGTCAAGGAGATTGTTTTATTAGAATTAAGTAATAATGTTCAGTAGTTCTAGCTAGTATAATATTTCAGAATAAAAGTTTATAACTTTAGCTATAAGCAAATATATATCATTCTGTTTTGTAAACCTTATACTAGAAACTTTCTTTATCTAAACTTATCAGAAATGTTTAGCAGCGTTTGAGATTGTAAAATTGCTAAGACAATCAACTTTGACAGCGTCAGTTCGGCTACTAAAGATAGGCTTCTAAAGGTAAGTTGGTCCGTGCGTTCGGTTAAGAGAAAGGGGGAGGGAGAAATCTCAACCAGGTAGAACCACCACTAGCATACCCAAACACATCATTGCCACTCGTTGGGAATCCCGCATTCTTTTCTAGAATTGCAATGCCTCTACCACATTATCTGATGATATGCATGCAATTCCGCAATCTGCCTAACCAAAATGCCCCGTGAATTGGGCTCCGCTAACAGGGCGCACCGTTGGTCAAAGATTCTCTGTCCCTTCACGCTACCCCAGCTTAGCTATTACATTTCCTTCCAGTTTCTTTGGTTGGTGAACTGAACAGGCATATGCGCAACAATTAGGTTTAGCGATGGTATGCATACTTCCAGCAATTGCTTCCTTGATGTCATTTTGCTAACCTGTATTATTCATCGCCCACTGTTGCCTACGCTTCCACAAATACGGTGACGCAACTACCTTCTTCTTCCAGGTCCAGAAGGATGATGAAGGGGAGGAGCAGGAATTGGAGCTTGAAGATGCCAATAGTCAGGAGGGTGATCGTTGACGGAAAAGAGGCACAAACCGTCAACAAGAGTCACCAGGTTCCGCAGAGTCCGTTGCCACCGAGACCGTCCTCGCTGAGCGAAAGAATCTATAAAATCGGAAAAGGCACTGCTTCGTCTGGCTCGGTGAGCTTATGGTGGAGATAAGAATTGGTTGCAGGAGAGGACGGGTACAGTGGAGGCATGAATTTTGAATCATCACCATCCATAGTCCCGTATCGCTAACGATGGCACAGATTCTGATGCATTGCTTGCACCCCCTCCAACATGATTGCAGCATACCAACGATAATATGGAGAAAACTTCTGACCATGGTCAAAATGTCGATTCTGCTTATACTCGGTCTCACGTACGAGTGGGGATATATTATTTGGGTGAAACAGATCCTAGGTCACCTTTCCGAGATCTTGATTAGCTTTACAAACCTCGCAAAGTGGACGCTAGGTTGCCTAGCGCTCAATTAAGGCCCAACTCTCTACCTAAATTTGGTGGTGATCTTGGGGATGGTGGATGGCTCAAAGGAACGTCCGCAATCGTACGTACAACAATCTCCTGACTTGTTGTCTGTGGAAGCAACAAGTGCTCCAGCATCCAAACGATATACTGTTTGCTTATTAGTCACCCTCGCCATGCAAAACACCCCAGATATCGAAATCGATAATCTGGTTGGTAGAGCTTACATGGTGAATGACAAGTCATTGTTCATACATGCGGTATCTTCATCTTCGTCCCAATGGCGGATTCTAGAGCGATATGCCCCGGCGTTACGATGGCCGCTTTCACTAATGTTGGTGGTTGGATATTCCGAGTCCACCGTTTATGCCTCATGGATATATTGGACCCACCTATGGGCTAGCCCGGGGTGATCTAATATATCCTCAACCTTGTACCTAGCTCTCTTTTCTCTTTAGTTGCATCAATTCATATTTACGAATACCCTCATTGTCGTCTACAGGTGCCAAGTGCCATTCCCTTGATACCTCCGATAACTAGCCATACCATCAGACGCCGAAAGCGGAGCCAATAATGCTTTGATCGAGGAATTGAGAAGGCAATGCAATTAGAAGAGCGCCTCCGACTAATAAGAAAGATGGTCCACCAATAAGTGTTGGCTTCCAAGACATTCACAGTAAAGAGAAACTTTTGGTGCTGGTGCACATATGGTTTCTTGTATTCGTTCCGCTGATCAATCATTCTTCTGAGTTCTTTACGTGCTTTCTTTGCTTTTTCAAAAGCTCAGCTCCGACACTTGTTTCTACGCTGCAAATCTGTCTTTTTCTTTGCATTTCTGGCGCTGGTGGAGACGATGAGGCGCTTGGCGTTGTTTTTGTTTCCGTTTTAGGCTTGGGAGATATACGTAAGTACCAGTTAGAATCTAAAAGAACACTCAAAATATCCCTTCTGCCACTCGTTTACTGAAAGGTGAAATCGTAGAATTGCCTTTCAAGCTTTGCAATAGCATTTATTGAATTTAGTGTTGTTTCTCAAGGATAATTTGCGAAGTGAACTTGGCGCCTTCTTTCCATTTATGGCATACCCCATTTCTGTTATTCTGTTTAAACGTTCATGATGCTTTAGACTTCTGACACTAGCTCCTTGACAATAATTCAGGCCCTTCCACCAATAGCACCAAACACGTTGTGGCTCATGGTATGTACTGGCTTCGTTATTTCGAGAAAGGCGGCTCTTTGGTCTTCGGATGGGAGTCGCTGAGCCGGTTAGAATGAAATCCCGAATGCCTCTTTCGTACTTGCCTGCAACCTAAGCTGTGTGATGTATGGCCGAGGCAAGCTTTCGAATTGACACTTCTTTTCTACCAAAGTTTTGTCAGAAAGTCGACATGATTCGTGATAAGCACTCTGCTCATAGTAGCCCGAAGGCTACTCTGAGTTCTCTTTCTCCATAACCATCTACCTTACTACCATTGCTCCACCTTAGGGTTTTACAAAACCGAGGTTACTGATTGTTTTCGTGAGGCTTGAGCGTAGGGTAAGGATGACAAGAGAGACAACGTATCCCTCAATTTCAGATAGACACATCTTTTACCGTCCCGCAGCATGCAAACTTCCTGTCTTTCAGTCGTCATTCTCCCTCCCCATCTCCGGCACTCTTCTAGAATTAGGAAAACAGCATCAACAGTCTGGTTCCATTCTAAAGAGGAAACCATACCCATATCACTTACCTCTTCATGCTTCACAACTCTGTAGCTTCGACTCGCAATTCAACCTTTCGTTCTTTTGCTGTGCCGTATCAAAGGCATGGTCCTTTGATTTGCACCTTTTTATCGAGAAGTTCTTGTTGATTTTGTGTCGGATGTTCTCACAATCATTTCTCGCGCCACAAAGCCACGGTTTTCTCTTCCTTGCCGCTGTATAGATTCTGGAATATCGCTATCGCTTCTTGGCATGCTGATACTCGAGTTGACGGTAGTATACAGGCAAATTTTACGTATGGGAGTCGCACTACTAATGTCATCTGTGATTATTGTATGCGAACTTTGCGTTGCCCCTTTTTCGATGAATCGGGTTGCACCAGCATGGTATGACGAAATAAACTTGGTTCCAACGAACGGCCCTTTACCGAGAATCGATAAAGTTGATTTCGAAACGTTCAATCTGCTATTGCTCTCTGGTCCTAGGTAGCGAGGATTCGAATCTCAACGTAACTCTTATCAAACTTCCACAATCTGGAGTACAGTAATGTAGGTGTGGAAAACTGGGGGCTCTGCTGTAGAAGGACGATAACGCACCCCTTATCAAGAGGTAACGTAAACTTTCAAGATGAGTTTTAGCGAGGACGAGTCACGACAGATGCTTAGCTGCTCTCTTATCTATTCTCCTACGGAGAATAATTTACTCTCTCCTTCGTACCTACCGCATCCGTTCACAAAAAAGATCCGTAAAGATTCTCCCGCACATGCCGATCTTTTCGGGGTTCTACGGGGACGGTCTATATTTAGACATGATAAACCGTAAAATAAATAAAGCATTAAGCTCGCCAAGAGTAGAGATCTACGTCTAGGTGCAGTGGCATCTCCGGATGTGCAAGTTGACTGGTCAGAATTAAGTGCTCGACTCCACTCTCCGTAAAATTAAGTCCTGTTTCTTCGAGACTGCCGGATGGTTTATCGAAGTACAACTTAAAAGCCCTGATACTTCGTATGAGGGACCTTGCACAACTTCACTGTCTTTTCCCCTGAAAATCAGTTCTACACCACTATGGATTCCCCCTACGGACACCAGTACAAATGCTAGTTGAGTAATTATCGTCGTCGCCGAAAGTGTAGTTGGGGTACTGGCTAGTCGTCGCTTAGGGGAGTATTGAAACTGCCCTTACTACTACTCTTTTCAAGCGCCTTTTGAGATTTCTCAAGTCATGAATTCAGAGCACGTGGAGGGGTTAAAGAGAATCTCAAAGAGGTTCGTCTCGAGACAGAGCACTCTGATGACACTCGCGGCATGATTTTTACGGTGATTAGCCCAGCGACAATTTGGGCCACCGTCTCGATCTTTGACGAAAATTGTGACAGCGTTTGTACTTGTTAGTGGGGCATTTATACCACGTGTAGGAGCTATACCACGTGTAGAACTAAGGTTCTCAGGGGTTAAAACATTAAAGTTGTGCGAATTGGTGAAATAAGGGTATTTTGGTGGGTTAATAATCTGTTGTTAAGTCTCGTGACGCCCTTTCTCTCCCTTTTCATAATGTGGCAAATCGCCTCTGAGGCGTGGAGACTGTATGAAGTGGAGCTTTTATCCTAAAGAGAAGGTCGCTTCATCCCCACTGTCAGACTTTTCTTTCCAAACTCCGGGAACGCTGTTCTCTCAGTGGCTAGAAAGGTGGGTTTCGCCAGCATCTATGGTCTCATCTAATGGCCTCATCTCAGAGACCTTTGTCATGGTGTACTTCGAAGTAATTTACCACCGTGCAGCAACTCTGACGGCACCTAGTTGTTGGATTCGCCGGATTCATATCATGGTGCTAAGGACCAAATGTTATCAAAGCTCTTTTACCAGTACATTCAAAAGAAGTTCTGCCCTGCTATCACCCACGCGCCACCATATTCTTGATCACCCCATTCGTTTTTTTGTTTTGTTTCTTGTAGTTCTTATTCAAACCACCACATTCATTTTGTCTCATAGTTATTTCATATTACAAAACTGATGCCTCACTAATCTCAAGAGTCTATCTTCACTATGTTGACTTTTAATATCTTTACAGCTGCAGCTGTTCTTTCAACTTTCGTTGCTGGACTCCCTCTTCCACCAACCCGATATGGAATTGACAATGTTCAATTCTCAATACCGCCGATTATCGCAACGGAAGTCAACCACGATGCACTCTCAAAGAGAGCTCCTTTCGGATCCGTAAGACTGGAAAGCTTCAAGAATATGATGGCGAAAATAAAACCCTTGATACCCAAAAAAGGCCCATTTTGGACCGACCCCAGCAGAGTACCAAAAGTAAAGACACCAAATCGTTACATGGAAAAGCTTCAAATACTCAACCCTTGGAAAAATGGCATGCTGGGCCCAAAGCAACCGATCTCACCCCTTAAAACCTCGCCAATGCCCGTACGGCCAGCAGGCGCCGGTCCAGAACCTCCTAAACTTATTGAACCAGAGGCTCCAACTGGTCCCAAGTTTCGGCCGAGCATGTTCCCCAAAACGCCAGCAGGTGCCAACCAAGAATTTCACTTTGCCAAACTGCCATCTAGCAAAGAGAATAACCCCAAACCAGAAGCACCAGCAAAAGCAGCTCCACCTCCTGAGCCTCCTTTACCTAAACCACTTCCCGCTGATGCTCCTGGACCCCTATTTCGAGAAAGCATGTTCCCCAAGATGCCAGCGGGTGCCAACCAAGACTTTCACTTTGCCAAACCGCCTAAAAAACAGGATGACTCCAAGTCGGAAGCCGCAGAAGATACACCTCTACCACCACCCAAAAAGGAGGAAACTCCCAAGACGGGGCAAGAGCAAGCTAAAGCAGCTACACCTCCTCCACCTCCTCCAGCTCAAGCACCTGCTGTAGCTCCAGCAGCTCCTCTCTCTCCTCCACCACCTGCAGCATTCCCGGCAGATGCTCTCGGACCGCAATTCCGACAAAGCATGTTCCCCCAGACGCCAGCGGGTGCCAACCAACACTTTCACTTTGCTCAACCGCCTAAAAAGGAGGAGATCCCCAAGACGGGGCAAGAGCAAGCTAAAGCAGCTACACCTCCTCCTCCGCCTAAAAAGGCCGAATTTCCAGCACCGCCTGTAGCTCAAGTACCTCCAGTTCAATTGCCGCCTCCAGCTCTAGCAGCTCCAGCAGCCTAAGCAGCACCTCTCTCTACCTGCACAACTCCCAGCAGATGCCCTACCCCAATTCCGATCAAAAATGTTCCCCAAGATTCCCGCAGGTGCTAACAACAAATTTGGCTTTGCCACGCCCAAGAGCATGCTCTGAAGAGGCTGAGATGGCATTCCATGTTGGGCTCTTTGAAACTTCCAACCTCTCGTCTGATAGAAGGACTTTTCTGGGAATTGCTAGTCAATTTGTGGAGGATCGTCAGGTACGGATGATGTTATGAAGGGTGGCTGAAGATTTAATTTCTATTTGTAAGGTGCGGTTTTATTGTAATGTCTATTTCCTTGGTACAGATCATTCTGGCGTTTTGGGTTGTGTGCTTGATGAAGCATGGAGTATGGTTGGAAGAATACATGATTACAGCGATATTGCTGTAGAGGGATAATTGTAAGGATGGACGAGAAGGAGGTTCATGAACTAGATCTTCAGTAGTAGTTTCTTATGTTTTTAGTTTAGATACCAATGTTCACTTTCACCAATTCCAGTTACATTTATTAGTAAAATGTTGGGTTATATATCTAGGTAAGATTACAGTGCCTACCTAGTAACCTACTATAATTTAGCTAGGGTCCTAGTTACTTTAAAGCCGTTTAGTAAAATACTAAAGTCGTCAATTTATAATCCTCTCGTCTCGATGGTGATTTATTCCTCGTTTCTCGGATGCCCAAAAGACTCTTATACTGAGACTGTAAAGTTGTATAGCAAAGGGTAATATCTAATACCAGCCCTCAAAAAAGATACATCCCACAAAATCAAGAGAGAGACTCTCATCTAGATTGTGCTCAGATTAGCTGTCGGAACAAAGTATCCACTTTTACAGTACTAAAGCTCCGCCAAGAAATAAAAGAAAGGGGGGGGGGAGGTATCGGGTTAGGCGAAGTAGACACTCACTCTACTCTCAGGTGAACTTCAGGAAATGCACCACAGCAGTGAAATACCTACAAGAGAGTTATCACGATTTTGATATACTCAGTTCTGAGATATCTTCACTTTTCTATAGATTCCTTTCACGGCTATGGCGTTACTGTAAAACTTGCCATTTCCACGTGAAAGTAAGTCCAGGTACTGGTTTTCTCCCAAAAAACTCCCAAAACTTCAAAAAACTCCAAGAGTACCAAACCACCACGCTTAATTATCTCGAAATCAGCACCTGAAAACCCCACCGAATCAGCCCCAAGTCTTGATCTTCCTCATACTCCCCTCCAGATCAAACGCCTTATGCATATCAAAACTATTCCACAATAAATGTGGCTCATGTCCCCATCCACGCTTCATACACTCAAACTCCGCCTTGGCAAAGTAATCCCGAAGAATGGGTCGATACTCCGGATGTGCACACTTCTCAATGATGACCTTGGCCCTCTCTCTAGGACTCAATCCTCGTACGTCCGCAAGACCCTGTTCGGTGACGACGACATCGAGATCGTGCTCGGTTTGGTCGACGTGTGTACACATTGGGACAATACATGAGACGCCCAAAGGATCGGTCTTTGAGGGGCGGGTGGAGGGGGTATGCATAATGCTGTATTTTGAGGAACGGAGGAAATCTGCTGAGCCGCCAAGGCCGTTGAGCATTCGACTACCCATAACGCAGGTTGAGTTGGCGTGGGCGTAGATATCTACTTCAACCGGCGTGTTCATTCCAATAACTCCAAGTCGTCTAATTATTTCGGGGGAATTTGAGACTTGTTGAGAACGAAGAAGTAGTTTGTTGTGGTATTGTTCCCATCCATCATAGAAGCGCTTGAATCCGTCTGGCGAGAAACGCATAGAAGTAGCAGTTGCAAAGTCTAGACGGCCAGAGTCGAAGAGGTCCAGGAAGGTATCTTGAAGGACTTCGGTCCAAACTTTGAGATGCTCAAATTTGGATTCTGAAAGTCCGCCAATGACTGCATTTGCGATATTTCCAATTCCGGATTGAAGGGGTAGCAGATGTCTTGGTAGACGGCCATGTGCCACTTCGTGCTCCAGGAATTCGATCAGGTGGCGGGCAATGGCTCTGGATGTGTCGTCTTCTGCGGAGTTTGGTTGTGTTTGGTCTTGATAGTCTGATTCGATAATTGCCACAACCTTGTCGGGGTCAACTGGGATAGAAGTGGTACCGATGCGATCTTCGGGAGCCATTATCAAGTATGGTTTTCGGTGAGGGGGTACTTGTGTCATAGTGATGTCGTGAAGACCTTCGAATGAGGGCATAGAAGTGTTGACTTCGATAATAATCTAATGAATGGTTAGCAAATCCGTCAAAATTCTTGCAACTATGTAGTTTTATTTTCTCCCCAGACGGCATGGTTGTCCCACAAAGCTCTTCAATAGGTAACTGCCCATCAGTTGCACAAGTCTATGACAAGTTGCTCTTTTGAATACTAATTCCATGGGGCAAGACTCAGTCGCGTTTCCAGAAGCGACTCTTCGAGCCTGAATCTGGACTGAGTGGGTACGATCTGCTTCAATTCGTAGATTCATTGGATTAATCTTTACTTCCATCTCTTCATACTGTAGATTGTCTAATAAAATGGAATAACCACGTACCTTATCCGCCATCTGAATCAGCTCAGGCGAGGCCCCAACCGAAGCACCGGGTACAATTCCTCCATCCTCAGTGATAGCCGTAGCCTCAACAATAACAACATCCAACTTATTTTTCGGACGATCCTTGGTATAAAATCCCTGTGACATATCAATCAGCTACCTCTTCCCCCCGTTTACTTGCTGCATCTCAACCCCTCCCTCGTCAAAATTATAGGTAAGACTCACATATACTAAATCCACCGGAAACATGCTCAAATGCTTATCAAAGAAATGAATATTCCCATTATTGATCCCCTTAGCAATACTCTTGCCAACCTGATGGGGACTTCGTCTCTCAATCATATTCAAATCCGCCCACCGATTCTCCGTTTCCGCGCCGGAACTAGCGCCCACGAACAGTGAGTACTTCAGTTTGCCTTGAAGGTTATTTTTCTCCACATGGTTCGCAAGCATTGTGGGAATTTTCCTAGTTACGTGATAAGTATATATGATGTAGTTGAATGAGAAGGAGGCATACTTAGGGTAACCAACACCCGTAAATCCAGACCAACCAATATACGCCCCATTCGGGAAAAGAGGTATTAAGTCCTCCGCACGAGCAAGCTTTTTCAGCATAGAAGGTCGGCGGACGCGAGCCTTCAGCGCTGCGGAAGCAATGAGTGAGGAAGACATACTCGCGTAGTGAGAAGAGAGCAATTGGTCAAAGTCAAATGTCAGTTGGAGCGAGAGCAAAGCAAAATATGGGAAAGGAAAGAAGTTTATTAAAAGAGGAAGTACCCAAAAGAGCAAACTGAAATCGTACGATGGCCCTCACGCTCAATAAGTACCCATAGGTGCAGGTGGTAGCTGGAGCTGGTGTGGGTCCATTGCCCCTCCATTGCCCCTCCATTGCCGCGGTATGCCGAGTGACGTTGTAGCTTTACAAAAAGGGGCATGCCGTTATCGGCTCCGCTTTGCTTTGTGCCACAACAACTCGGTAGGGAATCCCTTTCTAGATTAAATCAAGCAGTATTAACCGAATTTGAGAATTAAAGTTTAGTTTTTGATAGAATATTGCAATAGGAACAGCAAAGCAGGGCGGCAAACGATACTTCCGTTTTTCTTGTACCAGCTGAATCCCCGCCGTAGCATCCAGCATAGCATTTTGGTTTGTACATTAGAAAGATCGGAAGAAATCAAACAAACAAGCTTAGAATTCACATATGATAGGATTTTCTTGACTAATTATACAGTAACGCTACTCTTACATAGATGTAGCCTGTCTTCAAGATTCATCCACCTTATATCTTTCTAGAAATTTTGGCTGGAACACCAGCTGCTTCTCTCACTCTCCTCATATCGCTTAAGCCCAACTTCAAGCCATCAGCGTAGTCACCGAAAGTCGCGATCAGTGCACCTAGACCACCTCTCAATGCCGCCAAGATAGTATCAACTTCTGGGCTTTCCTGCTTTCCCTCTACATCCGTCCAGTGCAATCCAACCGACCTTTGGAACGCCTCTAACCCCTCAATGGCGTTGGTGAAGGTTAATATAATAGTCCTCAAATCTTTTTGAACATGGCCAATTTTGTCTTCCGTCAAACTGCAGACTGCAAATCTCGACAGGGCGTCCACGGCATCAACGATAATACCAACATCACCGTATGGATTGCCCAGCACAACTGCAGCAATCCTCCTCCTGTACTCTTGTCTAAAAGGCCAACCAAGTCTGCTCTGAAGAATCCAGGTTATTTGCTCTTTAAATAAACCTGCTAAGCCTTGAGCAGAGAGTGCCTGCTTTTGCCTTTCACTTAGGACGGAGCTTTCCGCCTTGGAAAGGAGTGCCTTGGACTTTAATGATAGGCCTTCATTTGGTGATTGTCCGTGTCTCTTCGCAAACCGACCTAGAGCTTCCACGGAACGTTGGCTTTCTTTCCTCGGTGGTGGGCTCTGACTAAAGATGTCTCCCGCTTGTCTGAGGCCATCTTGTAAAGGTGCAACCATCCGCGGAAGGGGCTCTGATTCCGTTGAAGTAGCGGAGTCTTTGAACCCTAAATTTTTATCCGAGGCAGAGGCTGTAGGACTTTGGTATTCAGCTATGCGCGAGTCCATTCCTTTAATGACGTCTAGACAGGCAGAAAGAATTTGAGACCAGGTTGAACCTCCAGTTCTGTCAATATCTTCATAAATATTCTTTCGCCGGCCTTCAAAGCGCTGCGCTATGTATACGAGCTCCCAAAATGCGAATGCCTTTGAATTGTCAGATATAGGTTCAAAGGGGCCAGATTTGGGCACTTACTCTAGTTTGAAGCTTTACGCCTTTCAATCCAGTCAGCAAGCTCCCGTTGGGGTCTCGTGATTCATATGTAATCGGTCTATCGTTCTTTAGAGGTTCCTGGGCAACATATGCTGAAAAGGCAGCATTTCCAACCTCCCAGAGCATCAATAGCAAGAAACCTGATGTAAATGTTCTCAACATAACAGTCCAGTGCCACGGACCAGTGGTAGGAAGAGCGCTTGACTTGGGCAAGTTCCAGAATATTTTGGCCCATGAGCGAGTGAAGGTGTAAGCGAACTTCCGTACCGTGTAGTTGTACAGAAATGGAAAGAAAGGCATGATAACCAAGGTTCGTGTCAAGCAGCTGATCAGTATACTTGGAATCTTCGATTTGAGCTGCGTAGCCGGGGGGACTATAAGGTGTGAAAGTTGCTCTGGAGAGCCTATGGGCTTCGTTTTTGTAACAGGCATATCAATTCGGTCGTAATCGTAAAATAGATGAACCCCGGATTGAATGGCCGCCAAGAAGTAAAGAAAGCTGGTCAAGTATATAGGCTTCTCATTGATGATAGGACGATCAGTTCTGTGCTGGAGTTTAATTCGGTTGAGGTCGGCATCCTTTGATGCTGACCAGACATAGATTTCGCTGAACAAATACGCCGAGAGAAAATACCATCCCAAGGTCTGAATAATATCAAATCTGCGCGCGAAACTTCTGAAAGTCTCCCAGGCCGAGAATGACGTCCGCAGCCCGACGTGAAGCTGGGCAACTCGAAGAATAAATATCATAAACGCAGGTATGAAGAGAAGGCCCGTTCGAATTCCAGCTCGTCCAAATGGAAACCAACTCCAGAAAACTGCCAAACACGTTAGATTATGACGCGCGCCCCAGTGATCTGGCACTTACGAGAATTCCACTCCGCTATCAGAACAGATTCCACATAACAGAGGCCAAATAACGTTGCAGTCGCCATTGCGAATCTTCTATGCAATGCAGGCGTAAGGTAGTCCTTGTAAGGACGCACTCGGGGTGAGGTCGCCATCGTGGGATACGGGAGGATATGGCCGTATTGGGAAAGCGGTAATGACTTCGGAGAGGGGTTGTGCGTAGTATAGGAATCAAATGGCAGTTGCCATGTCCTGGATTTTGGTTGGACTGTCGGGCGCAAATTTATGGTGTTGACATTCACCAAATCAAAATAAAAGGCCGCCAGGCCAAGGCTCCCAGGTACTGTACAGCGCCAAGCCTTCCAGGATCATGCCCGCCTCGCCGTGAGTACGTCAGTTTAAAACCCCATCACCCGCCTCATCAACAGGCAACAAGACTCCTCATAACCAACTTCCCCCAGAACATTGATCCCCGTACAGCGCATTCAGCCAAAGACCGTCAGTATGTCCTTCGATCAACTTTCCTCGTTAGAGTCGCAGCCGACTACCATGCGACGGCAGGACGACCCTCAATACTCCGATGATCCTGAGTTTCAACGCCTGTCGCAAGAACTCATGACCAAACTCTTCACATTGACGGGCAATATCTCGAGACTTTCCAACGAGATAGCCCTTCTAGGCACGAAGCGAGATACAGAGAGGGTGCGGGAAAGAGTGCACGATCTTTTGGAGGAATCCAAAGATACCTTTAAGGAAGTTGGGGAGGGCGTGAAGAAGATCCAGTCTTGGGAGGATGTTAGCGTATGTACATGCTTATTTGGTTTCTGGAGAAACATGCTAATCTGGGTGCAGCCATCGCAGAAATACACTCAGCAGAAGCTCGCCCGAGAATTCCAAAACAATCTCCAAGAATTCCAGTCAGTTCAGCGATTAGCACTCGAAAAGCAACGCACATCTGCAACGGCAGCACGGAGCGCATTGGAAGAATCACAATCTCCTGGGACCGAAGGCACGAGTCCATTTGGACAGCAGCAAGCGCAAGAACAATTGCGACTCGCCTCCCAAGATGAGGTGGATTTCCAAGATTCGCTGATTGTAGAACGAGAGGCGGAGATCCGGAATATTGAGCAAGGCGTCACAGAGCTGAATGAACTATTCCGAGATGTAGCGCATATCGTTACAGAACAGGGTGAGATGCTTGACGATATAGCAAGTAACGTCGAGAATACCCGAAACGATACTCAAGGTGCAGATCGTGAGTTGAGAAGTGCTGCAAGATACCAGAAGAACGCAAGATCCAAGGCTTGCTGTTTACTTTTGATTCTAGCCGTTATTCTCACAATTGTAATTCTGGCCGCTGTTGTAGGTTAAGCAAGGGTATTATATTGATTTTTGAGGTGGAGCTTGGAGTTTGGCGTTTAGAAGTTGATCATTTTGGGCTTTACAGTAGGCCCCGAACTCGACCGGTGTACGCATTATTGTTGCAATTGGGGTTGGATTGAGGTTCACATAGCTTTACAGTACTACGAAGTCTCGTTTTCTTCTGTGGTTTCATGGGGGATGTTGTTATTGGGAGTTTTCAGCACAGCCATAGTTAGAACTGTATATCACAAGAGATCGGTCTTTCTCAATAGTATATCTCTTGGACTGCTTATACTGAGGAGTGTACTGTGCATATCGCTTCGTATCGTCGATCAGATAGACTACGAAGTGAGTGAAAGATTGAGGAATATTTCACGAGAGTATATTAGACCAATTTAAAAGTGTTAGAGACACAAACTTGGAAGTTCATGCAGTACCTGAATTCCTAGAATTCTTCAAGGTAGCTCTACTAGTAGTAGCTACGATCGAATATGATTGTTGACAATATTATTTTGACCTAAATTTAAATATGAAATTCTGGACCACAGAAGCAAACACAATATCGTATTTCCGAGTCATATTTAAGAACCTGCTCGGGTTCCTTTGTGGTTTCAAGTTGGTAAGAGAGGCGGGCATTACTCTGTACACGCCTGAGTTCTAATAATATTATCCTAGGGACCTCACACAACTAAATTAACTATACGGATGGTTTGGAATAATTGATGCTTTTCACTCCTTATTAAACTAGGTAGAATAGGACAATGAATCAAGTTGTGCCAGACTTTTGGTATAACGGCTTTTGATAGTGTGTGTTCGCGTGGAACCACCCTCCAATGACGAGGCTGACTTCACCAAAGATTTCAGGGGTTCTGGTCGGGAGCCCGAGCGCGTGGAACGATCGCGTCTACCAACTTGAACGGTCTAAAGTTAGAAAGCAAGCCATCCTCAAACTCTAGATTTACCAATCTCCACAACATCAACATGGTATCTAAATTAGATGAAAAGACTCTGGACGAGGCTTTTCAAAGCCGACCAGATCTTCGACAAGCCATTCGACTCGCAGCAGGTAAGTCTACTATATCTCCAGCCTTGTCGCAACATCTTCAGGCGCAGAAGTATGCATATTTCAAGCAAAGCGGAAATTAACTTCTTCTTTTCTGCAGTGGGAGATAACTATATCGAATTATTCAATCAAATTTCCATTTACGTATCCAGCCTTAATTCGGCATCCTCAGAACCCGCATCCAAAAAACGTCGTTTAGATGAGGGAATCGCATCAAGACCAGCGGCAAATGGCACGTCCAATGGAATCGCCCCAGCGACGAGCAGTGATAAAGTTCTGCTAGAAATCAAAGAAATATCTGTAGTCGTTCCCCAGCGCAAAAAATATACTTTATGTTTCACATCTACACACCTATACGCTCGTCTGCCAAATTCCCCAGAACCAGTTGAGGGCATAAGCTATGTATGGAAGGATATTGGTATGATCCTTAGTCTTTGCCTTTACTTTTAAAGGATGTATGCTAATTGCTGAAATCAAGAATACGCATTCTGTCTCCCAGTCCCTGAAAAGACCCAGAAACAGTATAATTACGTCTTCTTCCTTCGATCTTCAAACATCACACCTTCAAAGCCGTCCTCGGGCAGCTCTCCCGCTGTCGAACCCCTCGTCTTCACAATCGCCGACAGCGCACCCAAAGCAGGCACAATCGGTGGTTCAGAAGCAACAGCCGCATTAACAGTATCAGATGATTACAAGTCTCTCTTCGATTGGGTAATATCTACACGATTAAAGGCCGTCGGACGATCGAATCTAAAAATCATACAAGCAGACTCGAAATTATTCTCTTCAGAACAGAGACAACCTCATAGACCGGGTGAAAAGGCCGTGTTTGTCAAGGCATTCCGCGGTTCAAAGGATGGATACCTCTTCTTCCTTCCCGTAGGAATTCTCTGGGCCTTCAAGAAACCCCTTCAATTCCTGCCACATGAACGTATCCAAGCAGTGAGCTACACAAACGTCCTGCAACGCACATTCAACCTCAACATCGAAGTTGATATGAGTTCCTCCACCGCGGACGGAACCGTAGAAGACAGCCAAGAGGAATTCGAATTCAGTATGCTCGACCAAGTTGACTTTGATGGAATCGATACGTTCATTAAACGCCATGGACTACAGGACAAGAGTATGGCTGAGCAGAGGAAGGCCAAGAGGTTGAATGTCAATGTTGTGAAGGACGAGGAGGGAAACGTGGTCGGTAATGCGGAAGCAGGAGAGTTGGAAAAAGCCGCCGCGGAGGCTGAACAGGCTGCGATGGATGAAGAAGATGAGGATGAGGAAGATTACGATCCTGGTAGTGAGGGGGAGAGTGAGGGTTCTGGGACGAGTAGTGAGGAGGAAGATGAGGATGGGGAAGGGGGTGGTGAGGACGACGATGACGATGACGATGAGGAAGATGAATTGTGATTTTGAGGGACATTTTGGGGTTGCAAAAAGTACGGTACATTAGCACGGGTTTTATGAGCTTTATGACTTCAACTTATAGGGGCGCACAGGCGTTGAGATCCCAGACGAAACGAGTAATATGCGTGCTACTGAAATATCAAGATTATTGGTATCCGTCACGCATCGATGATGGAATGACATTGTACAATATTCTAAACCTATCGCTCGACATGAAGACATGACGATGTACAGATGTGAAGATGTGAAGATGTGAAGTAATTTCGTGGTACTGTAATATAAAAGATAATACCTTTAGTACAGTATACTCATATTCAGGACATGACTACCTCCTTGAAAACAAATATCTAGATTGCAGATATGATATGTCCATTTTCGTGTAGAAGGCTAGAAGCATCCGTTTGTGTTTGTGTTTGTTAAAAGGGATCTAGATATTCTGGGAATGCAAGGAAATTGTACTTTGTACTTTACTAAACTGGTTTTGTTGTTTTGAATGAAAGGGATGGTTTGGTGTTTTGATGTAACTTGGGTTAATGGGAAGAAAAAGAGGTTTGAACTTTTAATTACCTTTTTTGGTTGGTAGAGAGTTTTGTGGGGTGGGGGGAGGTGGGGTGGAGATTTCTTTAAGGAAATTAGTATATATATAGATACGAAGATGTGAAAAAATGAGTAAGTGTTTGACTTCTACTAGGTAGAGAATCTGGTTTTTATTTTGTAGTTTGCTTATTGTGGTTTAAGTAGGTGTTTGAATAGATATTCTGGACATCTAATGAAAAGGATCAAGGTTTGTGAACATTGCTACAATGTAATTGAGATTGATCTGTTTTCAAGTGTGTATTAAGTTAATGAAAGGGACTGAGAGATATAATCCACACACTGGTTCTACGTTTCTACCGTTTTGCTTTAAAAACACTAGTTAGAGTACAGTTTCACAACCAGAACCTCACCTTCCTAACCAACCAACCAACAAAATCACCACAACACACATCATCTACCAATTCATTCAATTCATTCATTTCCCACCCTCAACAATACCCCCAATCCCATCCCATCCCCATCCCCATCCCCATCCTCTCTCCCACCCCAAAACCAAAACTCTACTTCTTACTTCTCACTTCTTACAACAATTAACCCTCCCCGTCGACATACTACACGAAATCGCCAAATTGCTATTCCCATATTTAACCGACAACTCGACACAATCCCTCGGCGTACTAAACTGAGCCGTCTTCGCGGTCGGGTTGCAGCAGAAGACATCGTTCGTCGCTGGGTCGCAGGAGGCTCCTGGTGGGAGACCTGTTCCGGATGTCTCGCAGAAGGTGGGGACGCAGGAGATGCTTGTGGCGTAGGTAAGAAGGAGGATGCTACTGGAGAAAGGGAATTTCATTGTGATGGTGGTATGTGGATATATATGGAGGGTTGGAGGTTTGGTGGTTGGACTTGGGGTTGGGTGTGGAAGGGTGCTGGTTGTATATGAGGTGTCTGGAGAGAGGTTAGTGGGATTTCAAAGGCACGGAGGTCAACTCTTACGAGTGTCGTAGTGAGAGGATAGGAGCAACTTTTAAGAGCAAGAATGGGTATCTTTTAGGACAGTGAGTTATTGCAATACCAGGCAACCTTAATGGACCTACCCACACAATACTGATCACGTGATAATATAGAAGTGCTCGGTTTCGTTGGGTATAAGATGAGTCTTTAAATCCAGACGATAGACTAGCTAGAGCTTATATATAGGTATATGATGCTGCCCAGAACAGTAGGTAAGGATAGCTAGCGCTAATAATATAACTATACTTTCTGACTTCTAAGTTTGCGAAAAGAGTATATGTAATACGTATCCGAATACGAGAAACGCTTGGGAGTTTGAGATTAGTGGAGTGTACAAGTACCGACTTCGTCATTGAAGTACTCTGTAGGCATAAGAAAAATTGAGTTTACTAGGGCGTGTTTAGTATGGTAGAGTATCTATACAGGGTGAAATTCTTGTACACCTAGGTCAAAGTTTACCTCGAGGACTAGACTAGGTATACTATATTAAAAGGGTATACTTAAGTACTATTTATATCCCAAGTTTAATATTATTTAGAAAATATTCTAAGTAATACTTTTTAAGAATATCTACTTCTCTATTAAATCTAACGTCTCTAAAGTGGGGTTTCTATAATTCATATGTAAAGATACATGGACTAGGTACTACTCGTATAGATAGATTAAATAAGCGAATATGTAATATAGATAACTAATACGGTTCTTTTGTCCCTTTAAGTTTATATAGTATATTACGAACAAAGCTAGATTACTAGGTATATTTGGAGTAGCATTTACTTTATATTCGATATACGAGCTAGACAATCGTTGTACTCGCTACAGCACAAGTTGGCATTCGTAAAGAGACCAAATCTCTCTCCATGGTACATTCCGAGTACGTATTCCGAGCCAAAGAGGCAGTTACTCTTCCTACCTACCGAGCCGCTTAGCCGAGGCCCCCATTGATTATGGTTTGTTTCTAAATGCATGCACCGAAATCTGTATAGCAAAAGTACTGTTCACTGGTGGCACTTAAGTCTCAACGAGTTGATGAAGTGAGATTTTATTTTAGTGGTATTTTAGTTCATTACCAATAACTTTCCCATAATGTTACGGTATATCGCCACTCTCAGTCTGCCAATTATGAGACCATTGGCTCTTCAGCAACGTAGTGCAAATATGCACCTAACAACTTGATACCCTCAATGTAATTCTTCTCATCAAGCTTCTCGTTGATCGAGTGCGCACCATCAGTAGAGCTACCCATAGGAAGTAAAAGCACATTCTTGCCCGTTGCTTGCTCAAAAGTCAAGGTCACGGGAATGCTAATGAAGTGTTAGTGATCAGGCTATTCCAGCAATGTCTTAAGCGTGTTATGTCACTTACCTGCCACCTTCTCTAGTCAAATCGGGCTTGACACCCCAAACTCTCTCCGCCGCCTTAGCTGCAGCACTAAAGTTCCAGTGTTTTGGACTAGCGACCCACCACTTGCCCGCGTGTTGAAGGTAAACATTGAGTTTGTTTTTGCTACCAAGTTTCTCGAATTGCTCTTTGACATACTTGAATACTAAGCGATCGACATCATCGGGTTCCATGTTTGGTACCGTTCGGATTGAGAATTTACCAATGACCTTTGCTGGAATCACGGTTTTGGCACCTGGTTGTGAGAAAGCACCCTCAACGCCGTGAATTGAGAGTGAAGGGTAGCGCCAACGAGCCATGAGAGTATTCTCCTTAGTCTCGTGGATTGTGGTCTTACTGCCCAAGGATTCGTAGATGTTGTCCATGGTGAAAGCAATGTCACCATAGAGACCCTTTTCTTCCTCGGTAAGAGGGGCAACAAGCTCGGCCAAACCTGGAATTTGGATCTTGCCATTGGTATCAACCAAGCTTCCGAGGACTCGAACCAAATCGGTCATAGGCTCCTGAGCTGTACCTCCAAACACACCGCTGTGGAGATCTGCGCCTGGTCCGGATATTTCTATAGAGTAATAACTGCAGCCTCTAAGACCATATGTCAGGCAAGGCTTCTCGGTACCAAGCCAGTAGTTATCTGAGATGCAGACGGCATCTGCGTCTTTGAAGTAGTTGATGGCCTCGGCTTTGATGAAGTCATCCAAGCCTTCCGATCCATACTCCTCCATACCCTCAAAGCACATTAGTAGGTTGACGGGGAAGTCAACACCAGCCTTCTGATGAGCCTCAATCGCATTGAGCCATCCCAAAACAGGCCCCTTATCATCCGTGCTTCCTCTACCAAACATTCTCCCCTTGTCATCAATCGTTAACTCGAATGGCTCAGTAGCCCAGCCATCTTCCTTCCCAGCGGGCTGAACATCGTAATGTCCGTAAACCAAGATTGTTCTCTTGTTCTTATCATTTCCATATCGAGCAATAACAACCGGAGGGAGTTCAAGATATTCCTTGTGTGGTTGCGGTCCAAGTGGTCTCTGCTCGACCTCAGCTCCCAGTGCTGTCAATTCATCTGCAAGCCACTTTCCCATTCGCACGACATCTGGACGGCGTTCATCCTCAGCGGAGATGGAAGGAATAGCGACTGCTTTTCGAAGACGATCGATGAAGTGGCCTGAGAGATCGTCGACTTGTTTGAAGAAACCGTCTAGCTGGGGAGCCATCTTTTGGGCTTGATGTGCTTGGATGGACTTCGCGAGGTAGTTGCGAGAGGAGGGTACAGAAAATTGTTTGCAGGTTCTAGGAGAAGCCTGATATCTTGTTAAAGAGGGGATTGAGGTACAGCGCAGAAGTTGACGTCGATTGATGCTGGTGAAAATTGGCAGTCTGCTGATACAACGAAGAGACATGCCTGAGCACTCTATGTTCTACCGTTCTACCACCTGCACCACCTAATCCAGTGGTGGGGGTTCAAAGTGTGCCCCTCCTTCCTGTCTCAGTTGGATTTTCCCCGTGACCCCGTCTCTTGCCGCCACCAGCCGCCCCGGGTCCCAATACACTGACGCCCCGGCGTCAGTTTAGAGCTGACTAAGCGCGGGTTTTCACGCCCCCCCACCACCGAAATGCGCGCGCGTCGCATTTACATCTACCAGCACTGTACTTTGGACTGTAATCAATGCACGCCTGACATAGCTACATAGCGAAAATGGACGTTCAACTCTCGCTGTCGCCACTGCCCTTACATTCACCTGAGCAACCACTTGAGCCAGCGTCAGCAGATGCCACCCCTCATACGTCTATGCCACTGCCTCCAGAGGCTATATATAGCTCTAAAGAAGAGCTATATACTTCAATTCAAGCCTGGGCAGCACATCATTGCTATGCTTTTCGTATTGGACGGTCAACAAAGATCCATGGCGGTCCTAGGACGAAGATCACGTATAATTGCGACCGTTACGGCCTACCACCATCCGAAAAACATCCGCAACAGCATTTACAAGCACGTAAGCGACAGACAACTACTCGAAAAACTGGCTGCCAGTTCTCAATAGTAGCGCTTGAATGTATAAATTCTCAATGGGAGTTACGCTATAGGCCTGGCGTAGAGTATAGTCTACATAACCACCTTCCAAGTCAATCAGTTAGCTCTCATCCAGCACACCGGAAGCTAGCACAAGCAGAGATAAATCAGGCTAGATCTTTACACAATGCAGGTAAGATAGAAAGTAACTTGAAATAATTTAAGTCTAATATATATTTAGGGATTAAGCCAAGCCAAGCAATTACATACCTTCGCCAGATAACTACTACCCCACTTCAACCGTACGACATATATAACCTGAATGCCTCTTTTAAAAGAGAGCAAAGACATGGACTCTCTCCAAACGACGCCCTTATTCAGCACCTTACAGATAACAAAATACACTTCAAAATCAATGTCACGTCAGAGAACCGGACACAACACCTCTTCATTGCATATCCACAGTCAATTCAGCTTGCACAGACTAATCAAGATGTTGTATTAGTTGATAATACATATAAGACAAATAAGTTTCAGATGCCACTCTTACATATGATTGGTAAGTACCGCTTTTGACTTATTTGTACGCTTATAATACTAAGTATTCATAGGTGTTACAAGCTCTGGATTAACGTTCTCAATTGGATTTTGCTTCCTTCCCGGTGAAACACAGGAAGACTTTATATGGGGATTCCAATGTTTTCAAGAGCTTGGAATTAACCCTGGAGCTATAGTTATAGACGGTGACCAGGCTCAAAAGAATGCGTCAGAAGAGGTGTTTCCGCACGCCCCTACACTACTCTGTATTTGGCATGTAAACCAATGTGTACTTGCTAAATGTAAGAATGTAGTCGGGGAAGAGGATTGGAAGGCTTTTGAGGCTGCCTGGCGTATAGTTATTCAAGCACAGACAATTGAGCAATTTGATAAGCGCTGGCTTGAGTTTCAGACTCAATACTCAAACCCTAAGACTCAACAGTGTGTGGCATACCTACAAAACGAGTGGCTAAAACCTGGTCAAAAGGAGCGTTTAGTTGAGGCTTGGACAAATCAATACTTACACTTCGGTATACGAGTAACCTCCCGTGCTGAAGGAGCTCATGCATATATTAAGCGCTACCTAGGGGGCAAAAAAACCAAGGGGGACCTCTATTCATCATGGCTACTTATTGAAGCAGCTGTAATCAACCAAATTACAGCTGTATCAACTCGTATAAGTATGTTACAGGACCGCGCACCACTTGATATAGACAAGAAGCTATATCAAGGCTGTTTTGGGGTAGTCACTTGGTATGCACTACGACTTGTACAACGACATCAAGAGACTGTTTCTCGGCCACTACTGCCCTGTACTGGTGCTTTTACCCGGGCAATGGGCTTGCCTTGTGCACATATATGTGAGGGTTAGAACCTATAGTGGGGCTCGGGCCTAGAGCCCTCGCTAAGCTAAGCGACCCCGCCTCTGGAACGCCATGGAATAAGATAGAATGCTATGACGCAGAAGATTGGTAATACTATGGAACAGTGTTGAATGCAATGGAAATGCTACATTTAGTATAAGAGTAGAGGAGGAACATGTATTTACAGACCACGTAGTTCTTAATTGAATATTGAACCCACACCTTTGAGTTGTTCGAGGTCTGGCCTCTCACAATATATGCGAGATAAAGAAGGACACTACTGGGCTTACTCCATCAGACTTTCATGAGCACTGGTACTGGGACCGTAAAAGCACTATACAGCCACTACTTAACCCTCTATGGGCTGGTAGACAGCGTATAGCAAACGCAGAGGTTGCTCACACAGGCCGCATTCTCTCAAAAGGGGAGAAAAAAGCAAAGCAATTACCTAAATGCTCTGCATGCCACAGGCAAGGCCACACAATGAGTAGCTGTAGCTGCCCGTTGAAATTACAAGCATCAATTGCTGCTCAAAGCCAGATTCTCCTTGAATTAGATACAGTGCCCACATCACCCACATTATCCATATCACCTACAGCACCTTCAGCACCTCTAGCATCAGCACCTTTAGCATCTCTAGCACCAACTGTACCTAAGCAGCTTTCACCAGATCGGCCAGAAGTCTTAATTCTGGCCTACCTAGCTGAAAAAACAGCCTGGCTAGCCCAGCATCCTACTATACGGCCAGCAGAATATCGTAAGGCCCGAAAATGGAAAACACCAAGGCCGAAAATTTTAAAAGAGCAGGTATTTTATATGCCTAGGGAGCGGCGTGATCTTACAGGTACTATTATTACAAATAAAGCTGACTGGACAAATGAGGAGATTATAGCATGGCTAGATAACGAGGAAAAGAAGGAGCAAGATGAGTATAATATGCTTGAATCAGAGTTTATTAGGAATAGGAATAGGAATACTGAGAATAGGAGTAGGGATATATGGGCTAGACTTGAGGAGGAGTATGCGCGAGACTCGGAGCGATATATATTGTAGGATTTATTATATGTTATTTTGTTAAGCATGTATTAATTATAGGTATAAGTAGAGTGTTCGTGGATGGTGGGGGGGCGTGAAAACCCGCGCTTAGTCAGCTCTAAACTGACGCCGGGGCGTCAGTGTATTGGGACCCCGGCCATAGCGGTACGGGTACTTTGTGTAGTGCAATGCGAGTACGAGAACTCGTCTCGTACTCGAGTATCATTTCAACACCACACCTTCAAACCGCCCACGTCCACGTTTCGCCATGGCAAATGTTAGATATTGGATACAACACATTCAGCTGGATAGGACGCGATGCAATATCACGTAATGCCAGTTCGTCAATTATATCTTCCAGCTCTCCGGATCATTACTGTTCCGCCCCGCTCCGCCACCACGTTTCTACGATTGTCTATCCTCTTTCCCTCGTAGCTATCCAAACTTTCCATCAGCAAAGGGGAATTGACAACGATGAAGCGCACTACGGCATCTCCGATGGATGAAATACTCCCGATCAAGAATTCGCCAGAAAACCCAAAAGGCGGGATCCTCAAAATCTTATCAAGCTTTATCGAGGGCTTCAAATATACCAAACTTGTACACATAACAACCGAACTATTGCATGAGGTAGTTGCAAACCAAAAAAAGACTTATACGTCACAATGCAACGGTCATCCTATTCCAAACTTCCGGGGCACATCATCCGGCACTGCCAATCGATAAGGGGATACCAGACATCGGAATAGAATAAAAACTGGAGCGGCGCGTGAGAGAAGGTACCTCAACGTGGGAAGTGGAGAGGTGTTGTTTAAATTTAGTTGCGGCCCGGCGCGAAGCACCTCAAGAAGCGAAAACCAACCTTTTTCCACGTCAGCAACCTAGGGGCCATCACAGCGCTAACGCTAGCACGGACTAGTCCAGTATCAGCAACATCGCCGGAAATCATGATCATCGTTCTACTCGTATATGTTGTCTACCAAGTGGTCATTGGCTGAAGCCATGTCAGATTTCTATTCAAAGAAACGATGGGCAAAGGCAATGGTGAAGACAGAATTTTGTTTCGCTTAGTATGCTGTTCGTCACTGTATGTACGGGCTTTGCACGCATCTACACCACCTCTCACGTAATCAAGCCCGACAGTTCTCGAATGGGTAAATGGAAGATGCAAGACTTCTCTTGACCTCGAGCCCGAAGCCCAAATAGGCGAAGAGGGAAATTCCAAGAGGAAAGAGATAGTAGAACTTATCCTGTCAAATCCAGTCCGCATGCACCGCACCAAAAGATTCTCACTCAGCCCAACCTTCCATACAAACACCACCTATGCGCCTACCGCGAGGCCTCCCTTCTGAAAAGCAGAGGGTGTCACGCTGTGGAGTTGTGCTGCAGGAACGAGCACGTTTTCCCCTACCCCGGCGTTGGCCATCCATCGGCCAAAATCTTTTTTCCCTTTCCTTGTCCTTGTCCATACCATCTATTTTGAATAGTTTATCTGCACGTCTTTGTAAGTGGTAAACTTGCTTCCCCGAATGCAATGAGGAAAGGTGTTTGTTTGTGCAGGGTGAAAGAGTTATTTCTAGGAGTCGTGGCTTTATCTTGTCAATTGTTTATCAGAAATGAAGGCGCAGCGAGTGCAAGCCACCACACCCTGTAGCACTCTGCTGTCAAACTATGTCGTATCACCAAACGGCACGGTATAGTTCGCTGGGACAATCCTCAGGATCGGGGTAGGGCTACGGATCTGAAAGAATGTTTTTCTTGGGGTTGCTTGGGGGTTTCGGTTCATGTCCCTAAGGTTACCGGCTTGCGAAATGTAACGGCAATTCGCCTGAAGGATGAAATCCTAGGCTCTCTCTGTTGAGAGTGGGGCATCCATTATACTGGCTATACTCGACTCCAAGCTCGCTATACCCCCATTGAAAATTCACTTGCCGGTGGCAGCTCCTACGGAAGATTTTCTGGCTAGCCAGCGCTACATTTTGATTATAGTTGGGTTGGCAATTATAGAATGTGTTTGATGTCGGTACCCTCTATACACTATGACTATGTATGATGTCCGTTACGATCTGTTGGTTTCTTATCGGCAGCTGAGACTTTGTGTGGGGAACAATGTTGGATGTGGCTTTGTGCAGCTCGACGGGGTGGCATGGCAGACTGCTGGAATTTTCCCTGACCTCCCCGGAATTTGAGTTTGAAAATCACGAGTGTTTACTGTGCCCCCCGCTTCCCCTCTACCGAGACGGAGAGCCAGCTTTTAGGAAGCACAACACTTTGATTACCGCTACGGCGTGTGCACCAGGAAGCTGCAGAAATGAAGGGCTGCGCAGTCGCACCAGAGTAGCATACCTCGTGGAAAATACCAGACGACATTATTACTGCCGGGTATGTTTCCCAGTGGATAACATTGGAACACCAATTCAGGACGTGCGATCGCACAGCCTTGATGAGTAGGAACTAACAATACTATGAATGGAGCCGGTTGGGGTATTGCAACAAGAGCAAATTGGCTCTACTGACTGCCCTGGTCATCCTTTATCAGTATCATTCCTAGTATGGCGTTACAGAATCACAGTTTATTCTTAAACTGAGGAGAAACACGCGATATCTGCAAAGCATCAGGGGTATGATCATCAAGGACGATTCGCCGTCATACAAACTTATTGGCGAATGCTTAAACACTGAAACCCAAAATATGCCCGTCACAGATGTGTGAAGATTGACATTTTGCACGCAATAGGGGATTCGCGCCCGCAAAAGTTTCACAGAAGCTGCCCAATGAAATAATGGTGACTTGAAACGGGGGGGCGAGTTCATCAAGCGCTGTTGGCGGGGTATTGTTGCGAGTATAGACACCGATTCTTGAAGGATTCCACCGGCATCCGAAGTCCTGCCTTCTAATAGCAGCAACATCACACACTGAAGATAATTGGACAAGATTAAACGAGTATGTACTCTTCAAGCAGGAACGTTGGAAAGAATACGAAAAATCCTGGGGGTGGCTACTATCACAACGTCGAGCAACTGCAGCACGAGGAGGACTTTGGACATCTCGTATCAACAATCTATATCTTGAGAGTTGTTTACCGGAGGCGGCAGAGGTACCGAAAGGAATGCCAGGAGGTATTGTGGGATACGAAGACCTTGTCCTGTGCCACCGAACGATTGTGTGCATGTGGAGAACCTCTGAGGTGGGAAGAGAAAATGAATGGCCAAGGTTCAGGCCACGAGGTGGCCTTGCTGCAGACTGCTGGCGTACACCCCTACAGAATCCAAAAAACGGACGGAATTCCTGATATGGTTAAATGTTATCTATGGCACTTGAGAAAGCCGCAGTCCATCTGTCGCTACCATAGCTAGTGGTATTGGTCGTTGGTATGACGCAAAGTGTGAGTGTTCACTACCAAGCTTGAATGTATTCCAACTGACTGTCACTGGCCTTATGATTTCGAAGCTCAGATTCATTAAAACTATACGCCGATAGTAGCTCAAACACACTCTTTTGACGTCGATCACTAGAATCCACTGTACTTGAGAGTTCATTTTTCGAGGCAATACTCTATATTGTCCGAGTTTCATGACATCCACCACTCGCTACGAACATGCAACTATTCTAGCAATGAGGCTCTCGATATATAGTTTTCTCCAATCACCACTTTTTTATTCTTTTTATTGCCGCTTTTCTCTATTATTCTCACGAGGACAATAGGCTAAAGGATTTTCTGGTCTTTATTTGCTCACTGTCCCATGCTTTGAGTGTTAAAGCCAAATTGTTTGGCACGACCAATACCATGGTTGAAAGTAACACCGATATCCTCAAAACCAGCCCAAGAAAGGCCGATGGATGACCTACATCCCACTCACTACTCCTGGTGCAGGATCTATTTTATGTGTGCGCAGCACTGAAATTGGGGAGAGAGAATAGAGGCCACAGCAGGACGTGATTCGGTGTGATGTTGTGCATATTGGCTGCAACGGGTATTTCACAAAAGTATTTCTTGTGAGGCGCAGATACTCGAGTATTCCAAAAATAGTGCAAGTCATTGCCAACTCAGTGCAACACCCCCGCCTTTACTCAGCACTAAGGTACCTACTGCAGATGGTTACATTGCTGTTACTGGACGCCATGAACCTGGGTTTGCGCCTCTCCCCTGTCCAAGGCCCTGTCATTGATCCTCTCCTGCAACCATCTGCACGAAATTCTCCACCAGACCCTCATTACCCATGCCGGTGAAGGACCACTACCCTGTCAATAAACTCGCCTGTCGCTTTTCCACCCTCTCCTCCAAACACTCTCGCAACTGCAAAAGTCTTCGCCGGCGCATCAGCCGCCAGCCCGGTGCGCTTTTGGTGTTGCTCTCACTGTTGGAGAAGGCAAACCCTCCCGGAGTATCACCCCTCCGGAATTCCAGCTTCGCTCACTCTGTCATCTTTCCTCGCAGTCATTCAACATGGCACCACGGTATGGTAAATGGCAATGTTGATGCGGATCATTTCGCTCGTACTCCGTACCTGCAAGAGACGGACGGACCATTGGATCGGCAGTCCTTACCAATCAGGGTTCCACTTCCTTCGCAACTTGCTAGTTACAGTATAGCTGCCGATTCCCTCACCACACCAAGCCCGCCTATTTTCCCTTTCTGGGCACGCCTTACAGGGCCATTGTTGGCGGGTCTGTTGGTGCATTGAAGATCGGACGGAGGCTCTGTGAGCACGGGTATGGCGTCTACTGCGCCTAAGAGGGGAAGACGGCCAACCTTCGCCCAAATCAGGGGGTTCACAAGCGAGAAACCCCCAATGCCCCGCGAAATGGGGTTGCGGGCGATCATCGCAATCCTCTTGCTTCTCAGTGCCCGTGGTGTCACAGGACACAAATTGCCCATTGCTCACCATCTCCACTCGCCATGCGCTTCGTAATATGCTTGATTCAGAAAGGGAGGGCCCGTCGCTCTCGTTAAGCATTGCGCCGAGACAACAGACAACCGACCGTTGGGGAAAACAGACGAGAGTACTCGGTACCCGTGCACAGCTATCAAACTCTCAAACAACATCCCACCATCCACCCATCACCCAAGTCTTCGCATTTTCCTAAGTCTCTAACCCTTCTTGCATGCTCATTTGCTACCATTTTCCGGCGCATCGCAGTATAATAGCAGCTGTAGTAAACGCAGATGCACGCGCAGACAGACGCAGGCTGGGGTGGCATCCAGGGCAAGGGCACCACAATCAGGGCGCTTATATTATGGCCAGCCTTTTCGCTATTTATGGCAATCCAGGACGCCCTCCTCTACTTTGGGACTGGCTTGGCCTACATGACCGGGTGCGTGCCGTACCCTCAGGGGCCTTCTACACATGGCTGACAAGGTCCCCTCCTTGACCCTGTATCTCACATCCAAAGCCAAACATCTCTCTCTGTCTCCTTCGTCCACCACTGTCTTTCTTTTCTTCCTGCACACATCACCGCAACCATCAGCAATGCCCCGCGAATTGTTCTATCTTTGTGCATCTACTGCGCACCTGTCTAGGTAGTTTCCAAGTACCAAGTAACACCCCTCTCCGTACCTTTTTTAACGATACAACCCCTCACACCCCAGCGACTCTCTTACCACAGAACTTTCTTGGTAGTAGAAACAAAGCCTTCTGCGTCAGATTTTGGCCCCTGAACAAGATCCAATTCTAGTCGGCTGTGCAAATCATATTCCTGGATCGATCCACCTTTCCAAATTCAGTTCAACTATGTCGAGCCTCAAAGATATAATGGACGTCGATGTGGAGCCGCTTCAATCCCAAGCATATAGAAAGTCCCGGGAAGCCGCTCAACAATCCGCCTCTCGTCCTTCCATCGCTATATCAACCGAGGTCCCCTCCCCACCAACTGATGACGAAGAAGAAGACCAAGGTAACAATAACCAAGGGAAGCATCCCATCAAGCGTCGCCGTTCCCATCGAGTACCCAACGATCACACCGAGTCTTCGCTGTCAACCTATCAAAATCGACGCAACAGCGTCACAGAGCAAATCATGAATATGGACTACCAGAACAGTTACCAGACCGTAGGCTCGAGCCAAGGCAGTAGCTCAGGAACACCTCAGATGTCGAGGACTTCGGAGAGCGATGCAAATATTCCCGTCAAGTATACACCAGTCACTGGTCGTATTAGCAGAGCAAAGAAAGGTGTACCAGTACACACCTGCGATATATGCCGACCAGCGAAGACTTTTACTAGAGCAGAACATCTGAGGTACGTCTAAATCTCGCATTGGGATTGAAATTACTAACAATTGACTTCGTCCAGACGTCACCGATTGAGCCACCAGAAGCCGGCATATGGGTGTGAATTTGAAAATTGTGAACGGGCCTTCCACAGACCGGACTTGCTTGCGCGACACATGCATCGACAGTAAGCAGCGAAAACGTCACCTTTTTATGAATTGGCTGACAGGGAATAGTGAAACTCAAGGAGAGAAGGCATACGTATCTGGTGATCCGGAAAGAAGTAGAGCCTCCTCGAGTGCATCCGAGAGCCAACCACGACAAATCAAGACAGAACCAGGACGCGCATACCCTCAGCAAGGTTCTCCAATGAGCTCAAACACCCCACGAACCTCAATGAGCGGAGAGACCAACAAAACCATGTCTAGCACTAACACAATCACCCCACAATCTTTTCAGGCTGGAAGCTACTCCCCGGGGTCCAACAGTTCGCACAAGAGAAGTGCAAGAGAGGCAGAGCTACCAGATATGGACTCATACCCAGTCACCTCTCCTATTCCAAACCGAATGCCTACGAGTTTTGTTGACACCCTGGCTCCTGGTACAGATTTCACATCCGCGAATCTACCTGGCCGCGAAAACATGTATACAGCTATACCCTCATCTGGGTTTGAAAACATGTATGCGCATGAATCCTTTTCGGCCAACTATACCACTGCTGTCAGCAATTCAGGTTTGCCTCTTCTGAGGATCCCAGACGAACCTTTCCCTCCGCACCAATCATTTGGGCAGGACAATTCCCCATGGTGTTCTTCGGCATCCGACAGCACCTATTCTAACCATTCCGATGGATCTCGAGCTGGACGACAATGGACATCCAGAGGACGTTCCGACTCCCTAGTTGATTGGCCAATCTCAGCTACGTCACAGTCTCTGGATTGGTCCACCCCTCAAGATTTGCACAGCCCGCCTTTCGACACATATTTAGATCAGCAGTATGAGGCACATATCTCCCCTCGTACAACTCATATGCACCTAGATGTACCAAGTCCTTTCAGGAGGTATAACATGGAAACAGTGGGTACTCCAACCCTCTCGACGAATAGTAAACCAATTTCTCAAGCCTTTCCAGCGTCCAGTTCACGAATACCCAACCCCCGATTGGCTGGCATTAATGCCCCAAGAGAGGATGAATTAGCAGTATTCTCCTCCACCTCTACGAATCTCGAGCAACAAACACCTTCACTCGATCTGTGTATAGACAGTTACTGGCAGAATTTTCATCCTCTTTTACCTTTTATTCATCGTCCAACTTACAACACTGTGGAAGGCAGCCTCCTTACCTCCGCGATCGCTGCTATCGGCACACAATACCACAACACACCAGAGGCTCGGGCCCGAGGAACCGAACTGAACGAGTTTTGCCGGGGAAGCATTGAACGCGTAAGTAACACTGAATCTTAAATCACATTTCTTTGGGGGCACATAACGAGGAGGAAATGGTCATTACCCTGCCACACTTTTTGGGGATTTCTTTTCTATCTTTCTTTTTGTCTCTCTTCTTCTTCTACTTTCCTTGCTCTTCTATTTCTTTTCATTCTTCTCATTTCCATCATTTCCTTGATCGATCATTTTCGCGGTAGTGTAAGGCCGACACTGACCCCCTGTCCAGCGTTTGGAATTGGATCGGGCAACCATGCAAGCAATCCTTCTTACGGAAGTTTTCAGCCGATTTCGAGGCAGAAAAACAACCATTCGACTATCCAGACGGTTCGAGGATCTTTGTATGAGAGTAAGTCCTCTTATGTTTGTACATTTCTATAGCTGCTAACCATTAAATAGCTAATCAGTGGCACTGATCCGAGCTACAGAGCCCCGTCTACCTGCACCAGCCCGGTTGAAGCAACATCTGTAGATGATCTACGAACACGATTTGGCTCCATTGAAAATAGCCACTCGCTCCCGAAGCCAGATGCTTCAACTGAATGGATGCAATGGGTTGAAAGGGAGTCTCAACAACGTCTCCTCAGTTCTTGCTTCGTGTTCGATGTCCATCAAGCTCTTTATCACAAACAGCTTCGTGCACGAGCATTCAGTGGTGAAGTTGGATCTTTTCTTCATCCTCCTTGCCTGGATAGTATCTGGAATGCCTCTGATCATACGGAGTGGAAAAGCCAATCTCTCCAACTCCTCGCTCCAGGAGCGTCTACTCAGCAATTTCCTCCCTACCAGTCCTCATTTCTTCAGTCGATTGTAATGAGTTCCCATGCGATACAGCTTCAATTTGGCGAAACACCGACTTACTTGAGCCACTTTCATACACCTTCATCCGACTACCCTGCGGATTATCTTATGAACGAGTTCTCTACATCTCCTGTGGCTCAAACCTATCTTGCATTACACTATACACCACTTCACGATCTCCTCGCGGTTGCTGCCGATACGTGGATATTTTCGCAAAAAGTCACACCACCAGAGCGTTTCCACAGTGCGCAGATAGATTTGGGTAGTTGGTCAAGGTCTGCAAAAGCAGCCCACGCGGTTCACCATGCTTGCCGCATATTGTCTATCAATCTGGCACAGTGGTCTGATGTGCCTTCAAATTCATGCCATTCCAATGGCATAGTCTGCATCACAAACTACTGGAGTTTATATATGGCAGCTTTAATCTGCTGGGCATATGGACATCGTTTTCAGCAAGTCGTCAAAGATACCTCTCCTTCCCAATCAATGGAGGAAGCTATACAAAAGGCCAACACTTATGTCAACGGCATGTTGGCTCTCAGTGTGGAAGAACTCATCAACAAACGAGCCACTGTCAAGGGCAAAACAGCCGGGGTCATTGACTTGGTCTATAGACGCCTTGTGATCGAGGGCGCTGGTATAGGCGGCAGATGCAGTATGCTCACGGACTGCACTCAAGTCCTTCAGAAGATTGCCAAGAGCGGAAAGTCGAAATGGTTCTGATTCTTCTCCTCAGCTCGCCCTCACTTGAGTTGTTCGTGTTTACGGCTTATTGCCCAACGACTTTCTTTTTTTCCTTGCGGTCTATCTTCCTTTCTTTCACCACAACTTTCCTTCTTTTTTTGTGTCCAGCACCTTGTACCACTATATTCCCTTTTGTCTGCATTTCATCATTTTCTTGGCGCTTCAACTTATCATATCATGTCTCTCTCATCGTTGCGGTTGTTGTTATTTTCTTTCTTGGGGGAAGTTTCTATTTTTGTTTGCTTTTGTATTCTTCTTGGGGAGCGGGGTAGTTTGATGTGACCAAGCCAGGAAAACACACGAAGGGACGACTTAATTTTTCTTAGCACACGTTTTTCCTCTTCTTCTCATTTTCTATCTAAATCATGTCTTTCCTTTGTAACATTTCTCATAAACTCCTTTTTTCTCACTCTTGTATTCTGTACTAACACCATCTTCCCATCCTCACAAACAACCTCCCTTTTATCTCCTTTCCTACGTGGTGATTGGTAGCTGGCGTTTTCCTTCCCCTCCCTTTTTCGCATTCATATACTCCTGGACAAACAGGACCTCCAAGTTCGGAATTTTTCGTCGTCTTGTTTCTTATCTACAGTAATGGTATACTTGGAATGTGCATAGCGAGCGAGCGATTGGCATGTTTTTCTTCTTCGGTGGAATGGAATCGCGATGATACCCTTTGCATAATAATAGCATGCATGATAGAATCTTTCTTTTTGTTAGGGTTAGGGTTGGTGGAGGCTCAGATGGTTCGTACAGTACAGTATATACATATATATAAAAAGAGATGGATGGCTAGCTATATATAAAATGTAACATGTAATGTTTTTTTCGCGTACGGGATTTGCCTTCGTTTATTCTTTCCTCTGGGTCTGTTTGTGAAGTCGGATAGTGAAAGGGTGTCGCGTGACGACGTTTGGGTTGGAAATAGATGGTACAGTACACAGCCCAGTCGTCTTATTGTTGTACTCGGACGAAGTGCTTAATCCCCAACGACGGTTAGTCTTTTACCTATTATTGAATCCTGGGACTCGGATTTGTTATTTTAGCCTAGATGGGTGATCTTTTATTCTATATATACATATTTTGAAAGTTACAGAGGTTGCTGTACAACTACTACAAGTCATTTGACAGTCTTCAATATGAGCGGATTGTCTCATTGCCTGTCTTATAATACCTACATAGTCTATCATCTCATCGTTCGTCAAAAGCTCTTTCATCTTTTTACTGCACATGGAGGGAAAAGCATGTGATAGAGGCATTTCTATGTCTACATATATATTCCTATGTAGGGCCTCCGCCTGCCTTTTGAGACGTTCCCGTAGGTATTAGGTATGTACAGTAATAAGCAGGAGCTTGATGAAAATTATCTGGACCCCTGATGTGAAACTAACGGCATGTGTGACGGCCCGTTTCTTCTGCTACACAGATACCCAACTAGAACTGGTTCTACTGCAAGTAATCACTCTCTCGTTAATTGAATGTCGTCTGGAAGACTTAAGTGAAGAGACCAAAACAAGTAACCTTTATTTCTCTAGCTATTCACTCAAAGCTACCCTCTAAACTTCTTCACTCCAGCTGCAGCAATCTTAACGAGTTCAAAATTGACATAACCACCGTGGCTCACATGTATCTTTTGGGAATTATTGGGCACTACTCAAGCTTCATGGAAGATTTGAAGATGAACTGGATAGCTGGGTCCGTTATTGGAGATGTATCCTATCAGTTCACGCGGGCATTCGCGATCACGAGTAATCTTGATTCGAAGCATTCATATTTTGTCTTTTACAATTGTGGATATCCTATACTAACACTTTCCGAGGAATAGAAGTTTGAAGTATTTAGTTAATAGTTATTATGGTCTTTTGGAATAATCTAATTCCCTTGAAATGATTTCTTAACCCTTTAACTTTAGAGGGAATCTTGAGATTATTAAAAATGAAGGTTAAATTTTAGCTATTGGCAAACCAAACACCCGGTGGACGGGCAAGAAAAGTACTAGTGATACGGTACATTGAGAACCCATTTTCGCTAACCCGTCCAACTTTTCTCCGTTGCTTAGTCTTATCTATTTGCTTGAGCAACGTTCGGCGTCTGGAAGCATATTCCATGGAACTCCATAGACTCCATTCCATCTGGAGTCCTTCCAGAGCGTCTTGAAATGGAATGGACTCCTTCCATTGAGTACCCTCTGGAATTCCAGAGCTATTAAAAAACGTGATTGAAGGGGGGGGGGAAGGGGGGGTACATAGAGCTAGATAAATATTGAGGAGTACTAGTATCGAATATGTTCAGCGCACTCTACAGGAGTACCGTACTAAGGTACCTGGCGAGCCCGGCTAGAGGGGTTATTCACGTGACCTGCTATTTGACTACCCACCTGCAAACCAGGCCTAAGGGACTTCCTATTAATCCACGGAGCGGAGCACATTTATCCGGGTCATGTGACAAATTCTAGCTGGAATTCCATAAAACTCCATTGAATACCCCCTCTGGAATGGACTCCTTCCATTGGTATACTAAATGGAATGGAGTCCTTCCAGAGGGGGGGTCTGGAATGGAATGGAATTCCAGATGCCGAACGTTGTGCTTGAGCCTCACCTGTCTCAATACAGCAATGCTTGGTGTTAGCGCGTGTAGCTTGCTTTAGTACCGAGGCTTTTAATATAGAACGGCACAAAGTAATTGCTACTACGACAGAGATTCTTAATATTCATAAACGCTCCAGGATCTACAGTACAAATTTGTGTATGAATACCTGTATTCTCGTCGTATCTTTCGCCTTCGACAATTTTCAAACGTCCTTTCGCACTTTAGAAAAGAAAAACTATAGAGCTATTTATTGTCGGTGTAGAGAAATCAAGCGATGCTGCGATATCGAGCAAGGGCAATAAAGAAGTGCAGAAGTGGCACAATCATCTTTGACAACTCTATATACTCAGAGCAAAGGGATGGAATTGTATGAAGTACCTATACCACTCGTAAAATAGTACCTAGGTCTACAACACCAGAATATAACTAAGCGAGTGCTAGTAAAAAACACCACCTCCATTAATTTCAAAATAATTCCCTCATTCTTCAGAATGCCCGAGTTATCACTTCAACCTCACTAAAAACCACAAGGGGCAAAAATCACAGATTCTTTTGTTCTATTCTATTCTATCATGACTCACTATTCCTTCGTAGGCCTGGCGGGGGTCACATCAAGCAAAACTCCGGCTCGACTAGCTCGCCAACTAAGCGACACTTAAAAACACCAGATCTAGCCCGGGAGTACTTAAACTCCACGAATTGCAGCATCCTCTCATATTCTCTCCCAATTCAACCCCCATTCTTTCATCATATCACAGCAATCACAAAACCGTAAGAACTAGCACCATACTCCACCAACCATCAAAAACAAAATAACAGCGCCGGACCAAAATCCCCCACCCCAACCATCAGCACCAAAAAACCCACCATCCCCAGGCAAAGCCCCAGAAAAAGAGAAAATGGAAAAACACATCATACTCTTCCTCTCCATCCTCATCCCCATCATCATCGCAGTCCTCCTAGGAATCACCCTCACAGTCCTCCTAGGAATCACCCTCACAGTCCTCCTAGGAATCACCCTCACAGTCCTCCTCTTCATGACGGAAGCGCGGGACGCCGAGCAGGCCACATGTAATCTTACACACACGACATCCGAAGGGAGAAAAACACAATGTCCGCATTGCGGATCGGACTTGGAAAAGGGCGCGGCCGTCAAAGAGGCCGCTGAAGGGAAGGTCCCGGTTTTGGTTAAGGATGCGGTGATTTGGATTTGAAGAATTGGAAGTTCTGGGGGGAGGAGGGAAGGAGGGAAAGGTAGAAGGAGTAACTTACGTTAGGCGAGCGAACTATCGGCTACGCTATACTATACTATACCGAAGTCCACACAAGTTTAAATTTCATTTCTTTAACAAAATTTACGAGTAGGAAAGAATGGACGGGACTGTAAGACAGTTGGCCGAAACTCCATACACACTATCAAAAGCCATTATATCAAAACTCTAGCACAAGTAACTCAATTATCCCATTTCACCTAGCACAATAAGATTTAAAAACTAACAATGATTCCAAACCATTCGTATAATAGATTTACTTATACGAGACTTTTAGGATAATATTTTTCCAACCTACTAAGGTGTATACAGAATTCCGCCCGACTATCTAAGTACCACTAGTAATATAAAGATCATCTATCACAACGACTAGCAAAGAACTCAATTTAGGAGGTAAAGTCCAAAAGCTAGGAAGGGAAGGAGATCCCAAAAACAATAGACTTTATAAGATCACAGGACCTAGTCTAGTCTCCTTCTAGTTCTAAATATAAGTCTTATGCTTTTTAATACCATTATATCATCATAACACCAAGTAACCAACTTCATAATCCACATACTCTGCAACCTCCACATATTTTTAAAAACTCCATACAGACACCCCCCCCCTTCTTCTCCCCTCC